ATTTCCACTAATTATGACAAAAATATCCAAACTTTTAGTATTAAATCTTCTACATATTCTTTGTTTTCCATCCCTGTCTTTAGGTTCAGTTGTCAATGCAATAAAAGCAAATAATTAAATATAAATGGAAACTCCTTTATAAAGGAATTTACTACATGTCAATTTCTTATAAATATAATAATCCATTTCTCCCCTTTCTGTTTTATGACTTATAACATATAACAAAAGCCATGAAATGTAATTGATTAGGGATGATGTTGTCTGAGTTAATGAAAAATCTGAATTATTGATTACCAGTAAAATTCTCAGTGCTCAGTTACCTAAGTACACCATGAGGAAACCCCTATGGTGAGCCTGTGTTAACCAGAGGGGGACAGATTCTGTGAGTGACCCAATTCTATCCAACTATTCAGCCCATGAATTAATAGTGGGCACATTGTTTCCTTCCTAATGCCGCATCTTCCCACTTCACAGAGTTTGCATGAAAAGCCACATAAGGTTACATAATCCATAAAAATTCAAGACAATATTTTTATTCTTTGACTGGTCATCAGCCTCCATGAATCTGATTTGCCTGCTATACAAGAGAGATATTGTTGAATCTAACAAGTTCTCCTTTTCTGGAAAATTAAATATAAGTGTACCAGAGGTCCCAATTTAATATGGTAAACAGGTGTATATGAATCGAGAAGGCACTGGTTTTTCTGGAGGGAAATACATGTATTCTTTTACAGACGAAGCCCACTTCCAGTTCCCTGGCATTTTAAGTTTGGGGACAGCTAGGTCAGAAGAACCAAGCTCCCTTGGCCTCACCCACCAGAGACAGTGAATGAGTCATACTCTCCATAAATGTGGTTTGCTTTTTATGGTGCCCTGTTAACTCGTTTCAAATACTGATCGCTGGGTCTTCTGACAAACACACCGAAATGTGATCCAAACAGTAAGAACTTGTTCTGATTACCAAATTGAGGGACAATGGAACAATGACATTTCTGATTTATTGTTGTGCTTGATTTCCTGGCACTCATTTGAATGATGAGGTGATCTTTGTTTATACGCATCATGAGAACAATATTTTCCTCTGGATGTTTAAGAGTGTTTATTTTTGTATAATAACTTCAATGGTGTGAGTTCAGCTAAGCTTGCTGTGTTGTGTAGCCTTGTTGAAAGCATGTATTACCCATGGTTTTGTTTTTGTTTTGATCATGGATGGAATAAAGAAAGGACAGAAAATATATTCAGATTGTTTTCTCCACTAATTTTTTAAAACACACACACAAAGTTGATACTCAGGAAGGCAGAAGAGCAGAGGGTTATAAACACAGCCTCTGGTGCCAGTAAGAGCTGGTTCACATCCTGGCTCTGTCACTCACTAGATGTGTTATAAGAGGCCAAGAACCAAACTTTTCCCAGTCTCAGTTCCTCATCTATAAAATGGAGATACTAGAACATCTGCTGCATAGAATTTGTCTTGAGAAAAAAATGAGGTAAAACAATAAAATATCTGGCATGTATGATGTCTTGTTAAATGTTAGTTATAGTAATGATTATTAGTTTTATTTGTAAGTAATGATATAGGATGCATACTCTTTGGATGGGTTAGTACTGAACCAAGAAAATGTATTAACCAGGAAAATGTAAAGAGAAATAAAGAAGTTTACAAAAGAATGATTACAGAAAATGGACCCTTAGCAGAATAAATCTTTTTACCTGCAATAGGAAATAAAAAGCCCAGTTTTGAATGTGTCTCTTTGAAGAACCTACAGATTGTTCCAGCTGTAAAATTTGTATTAGAGAATGAAAGCACAGCCTTTTCTACTTGTTTTAACAGATATTCTTTCCCTTTGAAGTTGTGCATTTGAAGGTCTTCATATCAAGAAACATGTTGCAATTAGCCAAGGGCAATCACCACCCACTTATTTGGTCTGATATAGTGCTATGAGAAAATTTTATAACAAATCTCTGGTGCAAATTAAAAATTAAGATCAGTTCCAGTTAGTTATAAGAAATAATAATCTTTATACTCAATGTTATAGGAGGAAACGAGCAAAAATGGATATGAAAATCCCACTGCACAAGTATCGGAGTTCTGAGTAGCTTACACTTTTAAAATGATCATTGCAGACATTCAGCTAATCATTTCACACAGTTTTACCATTGCAAGGAAATACTAAAATGTATTTCTCTTTTCTGCAAATATTTACTTGTCACTATACAAAAAAGTAATAGCTCAGGAGCTGAATTTTAAGACTACTCCATGTATATTTTATTCCCAATAAAGTCTGACACCAATAAGCTTTAATAAAATAAGCGAGCTTTAAAAGAACCTTAAGATAGTCTCTTTCTGCCCAGTAAATATACAATGGGACCAGAGCTTTAACCCTAAAATGGACCAGGCTTTAAGTTGGAACTTTTGGCTTGATTTTCTAACTCAGTCTTGGAATTACTAACGGCAGTGCCAAACTTTAGAAAATGAATTGTTTATGTCTCATGACAGATTCCCTAGGAATGCAACCCACGGTCATAGATGTGGGTCTGTAATTCACTTTATTTTCTTTTTTAAGGTAAAAATCGTAGATATATAATTCCATGTTCCAGTGCAAGGGCCCCACCTTCTGACTGATTTACATTCTCATGGAATAATAACCCTTCTGACCCGCTACACTCTCTCTCCTTTTTCCACAACTTCTTGTCTGCAGAAGAAAAATGCTTACAGGTTGCTTCTTAAACTAATAGCAATAGCCATGTCTCTATTTTCTAAGTATTTATTTTGTATCTTCTTGAAAGGATAGACTCAAGTGGAAAATACACATTTAAAACATACCACATCCACAAGTGGAAGATGTCACTTGCAGCTGAAACCTCTAAATAAAAACTTTACTTGTAGGGGCCAGCCCGGTGGCATAGCAGTTAAGTTCATGCATTCCCCTTTGGCCTCCCAGGGTTCGGATCCTGGGCACAGACCTACTCACTGCTCATCAAGCCATGCTAAGCCGGCGTCCCACATAGAAGAGCTACAACTCTACAACTATGACACGCAACTATGTGCCGGGGCTTTGGGGAGAAAAAAGAAAAAGAGGAAGATTGGCAACAGATGTTAGCACAGGGCCAATCTTCCTCAAAAAAAAAAAAAAAGCAGGCATTACAAATTCTTTATTAAAAAAACTTTACTTGTAAATTATTTAAAATTTAGAACTTTTTGCTGTTTGTATTTTGAAGCAGCTCACAGATAAAAAAGACCTATGACACTAGTCTACTCAACATGAGAACTATACATTTTAACTACATTGTCTAATGAATGGCAACTGATCAAGTTTCAGCTGGAAAAACTGAGGCACAAAAGTTGGAGTGACTAATGAGAGAAGTGAAAGCCAGCTTCCTTTCTTTCTGGTGCCCATAATTAATGATTCCCAATCCCCCTTTTCTCATTAATAAGTAAAGAAATAGTGAGTAAACAACATACTTAGAAACTGTTGCTTCATTCTAAAATTCACTGCTTTTCATACGTTCATGACAAGGCACCATACAATAAGGCAAGGATTAATTGCTAATTTTGTATGTATGATAATAAAAGAATCAGGAGGATGAACACAAGATAAATGCGAGTTGAATGGAAAGCAATTGATGATGTACAGTTAAGACATTTAAAAACAGTCAGGAGAGTAAGGATGTAGAAAACCAAACCAACCTAAAGGTAGTGTGAGACTAATGTAATAAGCTGATGCAGAATTCAATAAAAGGAGTTGTGTCTGTTACCATCATTTTTCTTGAATTTTTCCTAGATCCTAAACAATTATTAGACTATGGATCTTTAAAAAAAGTTAAGACCTGTAAAATTGTCCTACAAATGTTAATTGCATAAGCCTATATTTTAATATGTGCTTACATAATTCATTGATGAACATGTAACATACTTAATATATTATGTACAAGAAAAGATAATGATTGAATTTCATTATGATTATCGATATCAATTCTTGGTAAAAGCATCTAAGCATTTGAGAAATTCAAAGTAAATGCATTTCAATGAAAGTTAAGGATGAACTTTAACATGGAAAATGTGCCTGTGTAATATTATATGTCTCATATCAATGTTTTATTCCATAAAAATAGCTATTTTAGGTTTTATACGTAAATATTTAGCACAAATACATTTGCATGATTCCATTTTTATACTATGGATTTAAAATATATTGCATTTGTTTAAAGACCTTTATTTAAGTTCAGTTGTAACAAACATAATTTGGGGTCAAAAGTATCAAGCAATGAATTTCACATATTATACAGAGAATAAACCATGTTGCAAAATTGTAAACACCACGTGAAGATGACAAGATAGGCTTGCTTGAAAATTTTAAATGAGATTAAATAAGCCTGAAAAGATGTTGGAATAAATGCTAACATATGGAATATAAGTTTTCCAAATGTTAATTTAGTTCACTTTCCTGTAGTAACTATACACACACATACTACATTTATGTCTATTTCTAGGAGTAAAATAGTAAACTATAAGATACATATGAATAGAACAAGGAGGACATCTTGAGGTCATTGTAGAAATGTCGTGTTATTCTTAGAACCCACACACAATTTATGATTTAAAAAATAGATCCTTTAAGCTAAGTTAACACTTCCAGTATAAAATGTTGTATTTTTTCTTCAAAAAGACAAAAAGGCAAAGTTTCTCAAGAGCTTCTACATTCACTTGAAAGAATTCTCTGTCTCTCTGTCTGTCTGTCTGTCTCTCTCTCGCACACACACACACACACGCAAAGACTACAAAGAAGTTCTATTTTGCTGAAAGATGGGTAAAATTGTAAAAGAAGCATAAGACTGTACAAAATGTTTTAGCAAAACTGTCTTAAATATTTTTCTACAGAAGTAAAAAAAAAAAACCTTCCCACAAATATTGTTCCAATGCACTTCATTAATCCACTGTATATCTATTTTGCTCTCCTACTTCTAGAAAAAATAGAAATAACGTTTAATATGAGGTTCTGAGTTGTCCCACTTATGTCTTTTCCTATGCACTTTGAGTTAAAGCTGGACTTGCTGGACCATTGGCAGAGTGCTCTGGCTCCTCAGGATCACTTGTGGGTTTGGAACCTTCTTCCTCTTTGTTTCCTTCCTGGACCTTATCTAGGGCATCAGGTGAACTAACACAATTAGCATCCTGTTTTGTTTTGTCCACTTCATTATCAAATTCAATTTTATCTTCTTGATTGTTGTTTTTCTTTACTTGTCCATTCTGGGCAGGATAGGTGCTAGCAATGATGTCATATAGGAATTGGTATTGCTCCTGGTAAAGAAAGAAGCAAGAAATTATATAAAGGAAGTTTATGTGATTATTTTTATATCAGATGAAAATTAGCAAGAACGAATCATTTACTTGTGGAAGTCTTGAGTAAGAGAAAACTATTCTTATGTGTTTTCATAAAAAAAACACTTTAAACGGTTTAGTCTCCTTCCAGTTCTAAAGGATTGACTGCAGGGTACTCTTCAAAATTTACCCTGTAGCCACACCAAACCAGTCTTCATCCACCTCCCAGGCCATGTGGTGTCTCACTGCCAGGTCCTTGCCCACGATGCCCTTTCTTGTGCTTATTCTCTTGGCCAATCATCTAAGTGTCTACACATCTACGCATCATCTAAGGATCAGAGCCGGGGTCACCTGCTTCAGGAAGCCTATCCTGATCCCCAAAGGTTCAATTAAGTGCCCTCCTTCATGTTCTTATCATTTCTCTTTCATTTCACTTACCACATTCTTTAATAAATATCTGCCTTTTCCTCACACTAAACAGTGAGTCTCTTCATGACAAGAGCATACAGTAGGCACTCAACACATTTTTAAAACTGATACATGCAAGCTCAATGGCATACACAATTAAAAGCTGCAGGTATCTGAGTGAGTAGTTACGTTTATATCGAGACTAGTCACTAATTCCCAGACAATTTCTATGGTTACTACCACTCATAGAGGATACATGTTTGATTGACTGCATAAATGCCACTTACTACCCTGTCTGTAGCCACACGTCTTTGCAATGTAACTTTGCAGGCCCTTCGAACGAGACGTGGAGTCTATTTCCCCACCCCTTGCATCTGGCTGGCCTTACGACTTGGTTAGGTAAGAAAATGCAGAGGAAGACATGCTGTGCCAGTTGCAAGCCTGGGCCTCACGAGGTCCTGCACACTGCTGCTCAGCCGCGTGGAACGCTGCTGCCTTCACGTGATCACGCTTGGGCTGCTGCTCTGGACGGAGGGAGATGTGTGATCCACTCGCCCCCGCTGTCACAGCTAAATGCCAGCCGACCGCCAGCCTGTGGGCAGTCGAGGTCATTTTGGACCAGCCAAACCGAAGCAGACACCCCAGTGACACCAGACGTATGAGTGAGCCTGGTCCGGATTGGCTAAGCCTGACGTGATCGGAACAACTATTCAGCTGATCAAATAGACTACTGAACTATAATAAATGTCGTTTTGTGCAGTCACTACATTTCGGGGTGTTTTGTTACACAGCAGCACAAATTGGTACGAGATTAAAGGTGGGAGAAATTAGGGAATTCATCAGCATTTAAAGAAACCTTCATGAACTGCCACACTAAGTGCTGGCAAGCTCTAAGTGGGTCTCTCATTTATATTGATAATAGTTCAAGGTGAATTATCACGTGAAAACGGAAGATAAAAAAGAAACATAGAAAAGTGAACTGAAGAGAAAATAAGGAAAGGAGAGGAGAGGAGAGGGGGAAGAACGAGAGAGGAGAAGAAATTACCAAAATAAAAATGCAAAATGTGTTAAAAGCGATGGTGAGGGATACTTACAAAGGTGGGAATCATTCCTGGCCTAGCTTTGCGTAGAGATTTCACTACTTGAAAAACATCTATCACTTCTTCTGTTTCTGCGCTTTCCAAGAGATTTAACAAGGCACAAAATATTCCTGTTTGCTGAGATCCATCTCTATAAAAGAAAGAAAAGATAAAAAAAAAATCATTCTACATTGTATGGAGAAAGGGATATCAGAATAAAAATGGAAAGAGACATATTCTTCACTTCATGTTTGTCGTAACTATTTATTCCAATCTCTTAAGAGCAAAATAGTTCTGCCAAGTGCATTTTTTTGGACAAAACTTTTTCAATTTGGGAATAAAACAATCCTATAGTTTAAAAAATATTTGTCTTAGGCTTTCAAAAGGTACTGTCTTCTGTTTAGTACTTTACAGATTATAATACATTTTTATTTACATTTGAAGTTATTAAGACATAGATCATAATGCCAGTTTGATGGATGAGGGTGTCGAGATTTAGGGAAGATAAAGGCATGACTAGAAAAACTGATGAAACCAAAAATACCACACTTGATATTCTGTAAATTACTAGATATCATGCTTTTCTCCTTTTCTGCCTCTCTACTGCTTTTTACAAATGTTTACTCTTCTGCAGCCCCAGAAAAATGATGCCTGGTGGAATTATTCATTAAAAAGAGAGCAACCAAATGATTTATCACACTGTGAGAGGTATGTTACATTTTAATAAAGATTCAATGTAAAGAATACGTTATTAGCAAGACTTTATTTATTGTACATAACTAAGGAACACATAGTAGGCATTCAACTATATCCTAAGAAACACATACAGTTTTAAAGCCTAAACTTCCCTTCTTCAGTTTTCTTTCCACACAAATTTCACCTTTGAAAACTCAAATAAATGCTGAAAAGTATATGTCTCTAAAAAATTGATTCTAGTATATGCAATTCTAACAGTAATGATGAGGCTTTCTCAAAAATTCTAAAAGCATTTCACTAGATTTACATTTTTGTCTTTACTTCTCTTTACACTTTTTTATTTCTTATTTACTTTATATTTTTTACATAAACATTTTATATTATGCATCCTTCTTTCAATAGCTCTTATTTAAGTTGGATATGTAGGCATCTATCATAGATGAAAGTTAAGGGTCTGCATAACAGAAATTAAAGCATTATTATGTATATCATTAAAATCTTTGCCTTTTGGGTCAGTATAGAAAGTCAAATGATGGGTTTCAAATCAAAGTTGCTAAGCATTGAAATTTGAGTTAATATATAACTTAAGATGTGTTTACTGAAGGCAAAGCATTCAGTTTCCTGGATTCTCTTAAGGTCTAATAGAGCGGATCAGTGCATATAAGCATAAATGAGTGTAATGTCCATCCATCTATCTGTTCATGCATCCTTCTGTTCATTCACTAATTTACTCCGGACATACGACATTCCAGGTTCAATGTTAGGCTCTGGGGTGTCAAACATGACATGACAGTAGTATTAAGGAATTCACTGCCTAAACTATCACACTGCAATCATTTTATTCTATTTCTATAAGAGGTACATGGTGGAAGCCTAACTCAGAGTGACTCCCTATGAGGCTTTCATTGCAGCGATGCATTTTATATATCAGGATAAACAGAATTTAACAGGAAGTGTGAACCAAGAAGTCAAGTATTATGATGATTTCTAGAGCATATTTTATCAAATCTCACCCACCTGCAGTGAACCAGGAGAGATGCACTCTTGTGATGCTTGTTCCCTTCAGGGGCACTCCTCTTGGGAAGTTTTTGTTTGAGAACCTGAATCATAGAGATCAACTCCTCGGGTTCTGCAGGAAGCTCTTCCACATTCCAGTTGGTGTATTGATATTGGCACACAGTTCGAGGATCTTTCCTCTAAAACCAGAAGTGAAGGGGACGTTAACTCAAATGAACTTCAGCCCACTGAATTATTTGATAGTCACATTTTCTTCACAAGTACTGATTTAAGTCGTTTTAAAATTTTAATCTGAAAACATTATTTAGATAGCTGCTTTGCTTTCATAGAGTAATTTATATTAGTTTTTCTATCAGATCAATTACCTCAAAGGTACATACTTCTGAAATTATTTACATACCTTGGAATGCCTCAATTCAAATACACGGAGGGTGTAAGCTGGAGATATGTTGGTTTCTTTCATATCAACTTCTATGTCTCCATATGTTTGCTTCCCTTCTCCCCAGTACTGAGCACAGGCTTCCTAGATAAGAAAGAACACGGTTCAACAACTTCTATAAGGGTTCTGTTTGGTTTGTAAAGTATTCCCAGCACCCGTCTCTGTCTGTCTATCTGTCTCTCTCTTCTTCCCTCTGTTCTATTAAATTGAAATTACGAATTGTGTTCTAAAATTGAAACCTACCCATAAAACTCTCAAGTCTATTTTATGTATGTTGGACATCCATTCAACCAATACATGGCGTTTCCTTGGTGCAAATCAAGGGAACTTAGGAATAACTGAGGTGGCCAGGACACTGCAGGAGCAGCCCTGTCATCACTAGTGTAGGTCTTTGAGACTTGCTCCTCCCTTCCACACCCTTATCATCACCTCCTCAAAAGTTACAGATTGAGCTGATGTCTGTCACGACACCTGCAGTAACTTAGGTCTCACTGTCCCTCCAGTGGTTCCTGAGGAAGGAGACTGCATCTTCGGAGCTTTGTCTCTGTATCTTGATGACCAGCACCATGAGCACCTCTACATAAGCTAACTGAAAAGTCTAAGCAAAGGGTCAGGTTGAAGAGTTGGTGAATCACAAAAGTGTGTCCTCCCTCTGCAAATAGTTCCCACCAACTACAGTCCCACAGTTGCTGACAACAATGGGCATTTCTGCCTGCACTCTCGTTCCATTTCCTGGCTTTCACAATTTACATGAAGAAAAAGATGGCCGGAATTCCACGCTGGAAATCTGAACATATATTTATTTTTAAAAAAGAAAAACACATAAAAATAAAAAACAACTTTCTATATGCAGGGGCAGGGAATCAGAGAAAAGAGAGGGAAAGAGAAGGCATAGAATATAATTACATGCTTAGGAGAGTATTCATTTAAATAAGCTTTAACATACATCAGATAATGTATTAGGTGCTAAAACTAAGTAAGATCTACTGCCAGCACAATTTTGAGAATTCAGGATATTAAAGAAAGGATCAAATATATGTCACAGGTATTAAACAGAAGATCCAATTAGATCTTGGGTTCACCTCCAACTACAGAATTTAACGATAATAAATATTCCATGAACATAAAGGAGGAGGATCTTGATAAATTTTTCAGGAGTTTTGTCTTGCTAGAAGAATAGGATCAAGATGGGAAGAGAGGACACATTTAGATATACAGAATGTCAGTAAACTAAGACTCAGTGATGAAAATGCAAATGGTCTGCTAAGATTCAATCAGTAAACCTACTTGTCCAGAGTGGAAAGCATAGAAAACACAAAAATATGAGGAAAATGGAAAGAGAAATGAGGGTCCAATTATTGAAGGTCTTAAATATCAACTGAGGAGTTTGGTTTTTAACTTGAAAATAGAAGGAAAATGTGGCTGTTGTTTTTAGCAGGAGGTGACACTGGGATTGCTGTGCATTAGAGGGCTTGTGAGCAGTGTGCAGGACTGGAGGGGGGCAAAGATGAGAGACCATTAGACGCAGACACAAGATGTTAGAGTCCAACACTTGGATGGAAAACCGTAGAAAGAACAAATGAAATTGTGTGACAAGGCATCAGAAAGACTTGGGTATAGTGATCAAGTAAGTAAACCAAGAATGGAGAATGATATTTTATAACAGAAAGGCTTAAAAAAAATAGATTCTTAAAAGTACAAACCTGGTCTCCACTCCTTAGCTCTGTCAGCATAACAATAACTTTGACTTTTCTTTGGAATATCATCTGCCAAAAGTCACCAACGGTCTCTTTCAGCGGTCCCTGAGCAGCAATCATCACCTCAGGCTTCCAGTAACTCTTTAAAAAAAGAAAAGGTGAGACTCTGTTACTAACAGATGAAAGAGCAGTGGATTCTTAAAATAACCATTTGGAAATATAGTCACTTAATTTGACATCAAAATTCTAAGATTAATATATATTAATAATTATATTAATAAATATTAAGATTCTTGGGTCCAAAAAACAATGTGATATCTGTATGTAAAATACTTAGTTAATGATAATACTTAGCTAATAATGTGAAATCAAGTGTAGAGCATATCATATTACAAGACTAAGTTTTCCCTTCCAAAAATACCTTTTTTTCTCTAAAAAGATTAATGTAGTTGCAAAGAGAAATTGTATAAGCATTTCAAGTTATCTTCATCATGTCTCTATTTTATTGGTGTTTATATATTCTTATGATAGCTCTTAATTAAAGTAATATTTATGAATGTGTGTTTCAGGAAAATTTGGAAAAGAAATCCAACTTAGTGTAAATGCAAAAAGTATTTACTAAAATGACTAAATTTCTTTGTTTGAATTCTCAGTTTATTAAAAAAACTGTGACACAGACTCATCTAATAATTAAGATAATCTGAATGAAAAGTTCTTAACTATACAGATATGCAAATTTGGATTTGCTTACAATTTGGGTATCTGAGTTAATACAAACATTTTCAAATACTTTTATTTGCTCAAATTTTATTTTTAAAATTAACATGATTATAGTCATATTTGTCATAAATTGTAACTAATAGCATTGTCATATATTGTGTCAACTCATTAAGTTTTAATATTTTTAAGTCTTTCAATAAGTTAACATATAGTATTAAAAGTTGAAACTTTGTTGTCAATCAATACATAGTTACTCATCATTCTTTTATAAAGCCACTGAATGAACGGCCGTGATAACACAGATATATTTTTTTAAAGAGTTGGATCCTGGGTTTTGGAAATTTCAGTACCCACCATTATAAAAGATGCATTAATGTATTTGCTGGTTTCCTCTGAGTCACTGTCGTCATCAGAAGATTCATCTGAATCACGCTCACTCTCTTTGCTCACTTCCAGTTCATGTTTAAGTGGCACTCTGTTAAAGTCATCTATGTAAAATAAATTACTAGTAAGTCCCCTTTAAAAAATCAAATCTCTGCTTGATTGTCACATGGAAATTAGAAAGTGATTTAGAAGTGACAGATTGCATTATGTAAATTTATTGACCTACATGGAATGAGCTGCTACATAAAATTCAGTTCTTATCAATTAACAAATTATCAAAAAGAAGTCTAAGAAAAAGAAAGCCCTTAAAGGGTTCCAGGAAGAAACATGGGACATAATTCTATGTTAAACAACAAATAGATACCATAACATTCCGTATGATTGTTCAATCTTTGATACATATGCTTTAGTTTTCCATGGAATTCATCATTCTGCTTGATATAAGTTTAAAAAATACATATATAAGCTAATAAAATACATAGCTTAGGCAAAACCTAATTTTTCAATTATATCCTATTAACATTAAATTAACAATCAGTTAAATAGATATCTCTGATAAATTATTTAAGCAAGAAAATTATTTAGTCCATAATTTCTCACTGTTTCTCAATTTCTTTAATTTCTAATAACCTGGTCAAATGATCTGAGTAGCCACATGGCCATCAATGCCATATTTTAAACTACATTCATAAGGAATCCTTCAGAAATTAACTAGGTCAACCATGCACTGATTCGATTTATTTGGTTGTCTAATTTATTAGCTTGGGTTATATTTTCTCCATGCTAATTTTAGTGTACACAACTGAGTAAAATTATAGTTGTACCAGATGTGGTCCTATCAATATGCCTAAAGAGCAGAATTCAAGTCTTAAAAACCGTGCATATTTTGATCTGTTAAATTTGATGATTCACAGTTTATAGAGTACTTTCCACCTACTTTCAACCTCCCAGATGTAAGGAAGGGATAAAGAGAAGGCAGAAAGGGAGCAAAGAACATAATCTTTGCCATTTGGCAATGATCCTGGAGTAAATAATTGAAATAAACTGAAGATGAGAAAAATCAGTAGAGACAACTTGGCCTTTTTTCTCCCAACTTCAGAAGTTACATCTTTCTGCCAACCCATTTCTGAAATAATTGGTAGAAAGAAAACACTGAATATAGTCTATCCTCCAAAGTCCATTGTGAATTTTGGGGTTCAAAGTATTTGCTTTAACTAAAATTAACTAGCCTATTAACTATTCTCCACTGTTAACGCAATGTTGAAAGTTGCTTTGGGATCATTTGAGTGTATGTGTCTTACATTAAACAAATCCAAAAGAGAGCTTAACTTTATCTGATACAAAAAATAAAATAAACTACATACATGGAATGATGTGAGAATTCCTGTTTTTACTTTTATTTTCTTCTTGATTTCCAATGTGTTGTGTCCTCCAGCTCCTATATGATGGAAGTCTCTGAAAGGAAAAACAAATAGAATGGAAAACTCCTTTAAAAATGTCAATGTTGGCTTAGATTATTATTGCAGCATAAGATGCTTCCTAAAGAAAAGTATTTCATCAAGTTTTGTGAAATTTGTATACATCCCCTACAGGTCACAATTTTTAAGTATGCCTCTGAATTTTTCCTTTTAATTGCTCAGGCATTTAGTGTTTTTGACATGGTGAGTTTGAACTAAATATATACAATTATATAACAGAATATGCTTTCTCCTTAGGAACTGCTGGAGAGTGAAACAGCATGGTTTGTTCTTGTATAAGTTGAAAGCACTGTACAGATGTGAATCATTATCCATATTGCAAAAGCGATGGTAAATTATTTAAAAAATGATCCGAAATAGACTCTCCAGATACAGCACTCACAGAAGACTTGGCTCACTCTTCGAATAGTTGATACTCATTTGCTTACACCTTCCAGACTGCTTTCCCTCTCACTCACAGGAGCTAACCAGTCAGCAAGACCTATCCTTTCTACCCGTGAAGCTCTCGAAGCCTTTTACGTTTCTCTTTCTACTCAGTTCACCGCACTTTCATTTCTCACTTGAAAACATCAGTGGTTTCTCAACTGGCCTCTTCACCTTCAGTCTCATCTGCTCTGATCCTTCTGAAACACAGGACAGAGCGTGTCCCTCTCGGGCTCTTCAGCAGCTTCCCATCATTGTTGGAAGCATCCAACCTCCTGAAAGAGCACAAAAGCCTTCAGGAATATGGCCCTGATGGTCTCTCCAGCCTCATCTCCCACTGGGACGCTCGCACTTCAGCCAAACCAGCTTTCTCAATTCTTGGAAGGGCCAAGCTGTCCTTCAGTTCTTTCCAGACTCACATGTGTGTTTTCTGCCTGGACCACCCTTTCCCCCTTTTGTCTCTTTGCTAACTTCTACCTGCTCTGTAGGTATCAGTTTAAATGTCAATTTCTTTTGGAAGATCTCCCCGCCTGCAGCCCTCCCTTCCCACTTGTCCTCCCATAAATATTTGTCAGTGGATGAATAATCTAAATCGAGACAGCTCATCATGTATAATTCGGTAGGATTTTATGTATATATGTGTGTATACATATATTTTTTAATATGTATTTAATATTTAATAATATTTCTTTCAAACTAAATATGGCACCTTGTTTCAAACCCTCTTTACTGAATGAGTGAAAACCTCATCATTGATTATCAGGCCACTTGAACACCATCATGAGCTGCACGGAGGCAGATGCCTTGGAAAACATCACAACACCTTTTGCTCTTGCAAGAATGGGGTCCCTGCCCTCTAGCCACTACCCAGGATGAGAGGGTGAACTAATGGCTCATCTTCATCTAGAACACAAAGTTTTCACACCTGAAACCCTGCTTGTTTCAGTTGCTATCACAAGTCTAAGCCCCCCAGTGCATCCACATTCCCCAGAATTACTCCTAAATGATTACTTGCATCCAACTCAGTCTCTTAAATCTCACCCATCAATGCCTTCCTCTGCCGTCTGGTGCTCATGGTCTGTCATCAGCAAACTCCCATCCATGCTAATCATCTTTTCCTAACAGTCACTTCACCTTTTTGTTTGGGAGCAGGGGGGCACCAAGTGAAACCTAGATGTCCCTTCAAGGCATCACCAAGAATGTTGTAGCTCTTTTTAAAAAGCTTTCCCCCCTCACACCCTATTTACCTCACAACTTGAAGAAAAGATATGTGCTCTCTTTGCTTCCTGCTTGTACTTGCAAACCATTTCTACACATTTCTCCTTCCAAATACCCAACTACTTTGATTTTCCTGCCATCATACTATATTCCCTGCCCTTCAGTTGGAGGTGTCAGGTACCGATTTCTGGATCACTCCTCCTCATTTAGTTTTCGACTTGGCTAATTGTGTGCTCTTCTCCTTGAAGTCCGTCATCATTCTTGGTTATTTCAACCTTGACAAGGATGATCTATCCAACACACCAGTCTCTTAATTTCTTAGCTTCTTCACTGTCTATGGTCTTTCCCTCCACTCCTCAGCAACCACTTTCTCCATTCTACCTTTGTAGCTTCATTCCAAACATTGCAGTACCTTAAAAATTATGATTTCAACTATCCCTGTTATTGGCAATTACCTCTATTCTTCCTAGTTATTTATTTTAGTATCTTCAATCTAGCAATCTGCAGTTCTATCAAAATCTCCAACGTATCTTCCTTACTACTTTCTCTATGCACTTCATGTCCTTCTGTGGCCAGTTTGCTCTTTATCATTCACCTCTATATCATTCATTTACAAACAATCCACAACTCCTTTGTCTCCTGACTTTCAAATAGTCACTGTTAAAAATCCTACGTGGACTTAACCCAACTATCTGCATACACAGCCCCTATCCCCAGAGAGCTTAATGTTGCTGTAGAAAACAATACAACCAATGCACTGACCTCTCTTTAAATTCATGACCATAAATTTCAAATGACCCAACAGTAATTTCTGACAATCCTGCTGCCTTTGCCTGGGGAGATTGCTTTTCTACTTTGATATCACTATTTCATACCCTTTCTCCTTCCTGAAGCATGAGCTCTTCTTTACCCTACTCACTCCTGTCCCCCCGAACTCTCAACTGATGATCTTGCTTCATATTTTCTTGAGAAAGAAAAGACAACTAGGCAAGAACTACAACTTCTCATCACCAAATCTACCAACCACCCTCCATCTTTACTCTCATTTTCTGTATTCTTTTATGCTTAGATGGAATAATTTCACTGTTTCTATCAGCGTTATGGTACCTACTTGTGCTCTTGGTCACACTCTCTCCTCACCTCCACTTGTAAATCACTTTGACTCTTGTGCCTAGAATTGTACTAGGCATGGAGCAAGTCATACTTGTTTCAGTGAAAGAATTTACTCTTTTTTTAAGTGACTTTACATATGACTGTTTAAATTAAATTTTTTTTTTTAAATTAATGACTAGATAACAGTTCTTTTTTTTTTTCATTTATTTTTTTCCCCCAAAGCCCCAGTAGATAGTTGTATGTTATGGCTGCACATCCTTCTAGTTGCTGTATGTGGGCCGCGGCCTCAGCATGGCCGGAGAAGCGGTGCGTCGGTGCGCACCCGGGATCCGAATCCGGACCGCCGGCAGCGGAGCGCGCGCACTTAACCGCTAAGCCACGGGGCCGGCCCTAAATTAAATTTATAAGTGTTTCCAAACAGCACATGTGTGTATGTGGTTTTGTAGGGTTAGTGTATTGAATATGGTTGATCTATCAGCTGAAGAGTGAAAAAACAAGAACACATCCCTCTGTTTAAGACTACCCTGGTAACCTGCTGGTTCCTCCACTGCAGTACACGTCTTCTGGGGGATTGGGTTACTTGGTGATTACTGCATACTCCACCTCCATCCCCCCGCCTCGGCCCACTTTGATCCAAAACATTAAATGATTCTGTATGTGATTAAAAGCACATTCCTGGTCTTACGGTGAAACTCTCTAAATTGGTTGGTTTGGTAGTTTACAGAAAGGTTCCGTAAACTGGAAATCATGGGTGAAAGAGAAAGGTTACAAAACATTTTTTTTGACAACTGAGCAATTTGGAGATAGCTATGCCAACTTTCTGAAATCATAGTGAACTACATCCTCGGTTAGCTTTCAGAGTAATTGCCTAATAAATAGGTTAGGACACATGTATTTATCCTTCAGTTTCTGTCTACCAGCTCCAGCCAGTTTAACTTCCTAAGTAGTCATAAACTCCTCTAATTATTTCCTTTACAAACCAAAACCAGATGTCGTTTTTAAAGGTGAGATGCGACATTGCCTTTGGCGAACCAATTTTGTGGCTATATACTATTATTTTGACACTTTATTTTATACCAGCTTAATGAGGAATGGTTAAAAGTGTTGGCTGTAGAATCAGATTTCTAGGTTTAAACAAGTCGCTTACATAATGGTTGTGGGCTTTCAAGAATTTCTCTTAACTCGCTGTGCCTTCGTTTCCTCATCTGTGCTTCACTGGGTATGGTGAAGCCCAAACGCAAGAACTATGTCAAGTGCATAGCACAGCACAGGAAAATAGACAGCACTCAGTGAAAGTTGTCTGTGATTATTATTATTGTTATCACTATTATTACCTGGAATTCAGCCTCCAGTGGAGATGGCTCACTGGGTGGGTCTCTCTTCTTCATGTTAGGTAGATATGAATGTAATTCAGACAAGCTCACTTCTGTTTCTCCAAACTGATTGTATTCCACCAAGGCCTGATGGATCAGGATATACTGTGCCTACAATTTCAAGCAAAAACACAGATAATCAACTGATAACTTACAGACCTACAAATCACATTTAAACAAATTATGTATTCCCTTAATTTTGTCATATTGGGACAATGCATGAAAAAGAAAACTGGCATGTATAACATTTATTTATCATTTTTTTAAATTGAGGTAATATATCATTTAAATATTCTGGAAGTTGGCTCTCACAGTTCTCTAGAATATGAGGAAATTTTATCTCAAGCTATTTTTCCAGAAAAAAAAAATAGCTAGTTAAATAGATTAGGCATCTACTATGTGGTGCACAACTTTTATCTTATTTCTAAAAATTAAAAAATATTATCTGTTACTTCCTTCAGTGACTTTATTGAGTCAGCAGGTCAAATTACTAATAATAAACTATAATAAATTTCACACTATATCTGAGAAAAAAAGCAAGTTAATATTCCACAGAGCACATTTACAAAAAGACTTCTCTAGACCTAAAAACACAATATTCCAAACCCAGATTTAACAACTCCTAATCTTTTATCATATTTGAATCTACTATTTTAAAATACATTTTAATTAATTTATTTTAAATAAATGACATATTTCTGATAAAGTTCAAGCCTTTTTATTCACCACCTCCAGTCCTCTGAGTTTGGCTGTATCTTCCACTCTATTTTATTTCTCCACAGGAAATAATTTCTTTTTTTGTGTGTGATTCACAATTGTTTTTATATTTCTACACTAACATCTATGTATTCATAAACATTGTACATTTCTTAAAAATTACATAAATCGTATCCCATATGTTTCATTTGGTGACTTTGTTCACTCATTGTTTTCATCTGAGCCAGAGAGATAGATACAGACCTAGATTATTCTTTTCAATTGCAGCATCACTCGTGCACTACAAAGAGTCCATATATCCATATTTTGCTTGCCCATTAGCCTGTTGATACACATTTAGGTTGTTTCCAATTTTTTTGCTGTTCTAACAAGGCTGAATGCAATGAACAATCTTGCACATGTTTCTGGTTGTGCACACTGGTGCCTGCTTCTCTTGGGTCTGTATATATACGCGGAATTGCTGAGTCAAGTGCAGATATTTGCAATAATAACCATCACTTACAATTACTGAGCACAGGCATGTGTCAGCGACTGGTCTACATGCTGTACTTGGACGACTGTTTTGTCGTAGCTCTGTAAGTTACATACGATCATTACCTCCATTTTATAGACAACTTAACAGAGGCACAGAAACATTAAAAACTTGTAAAAGGGTGCACAGTATTAAGATTCAGAGTCAAGATTTGAAGCTTGGAAATCTAGTTCCAAAAACCAGGCTCTTAATCACTCTATTATTCTGTCTCCCTAGCTATAATTTTATGAGATGCTGTCAAATCCATCTTCGGTGTTTCTATTTTTTCCCAATCTGATATATTTTAAAATATTTTTCATAGTCATCCTTCCACAGTACTTTTAGCCGCTCTTGCAAAATGCTTCTGACTATGGTTGGTGCTTACCACTTACTTTAGTTGTCAGGAAATTAAAAGAGAACTATTTTCACCCTCTGTTTGAAGTTGAGAAGAGTCTGGATTTCTTTTAAGATCACTACTCCCACCACGAAAAGATTTAAGTCAGACAGCAAAAGCGAGGCTAGTGGCTGCAGGTTAGAGCATACCTCCACTTGAACCATCAGGCATCTCTGTCGCCTTAGCTTGACGACGTAGCCATACACATCCACCTTGTTCTCTGCCTCCAGGCCTTCCAGCATGGCGTCAATGCCGATATAGGTGCCTGTGCGTCCCACACCAGCGCTGACAAAACAAACAGGAAAGGGAAGGCGTGACCAGGCAGGGAAACATATGGAAGGCCAACAGGGTGAAGCAGAGAAGAGAATGTAAGTTTCTCCTCTTGGATTGTTTCCCAAAATAGTAGCTGCAAAGGGGAGGCCGTCCCTAACAGCCCCAGGCGTAAGGTGCTGCTGTCCCTCCTGCCTTTACCTGCAGTGCACCACGATGGGGCCGCTGAAGAAGTTGCTGAACGCGTTCACGCGCCGTCGCAGCTTGAGGAGCAGGTGAGGGTCCTCGGGCACCCCGTGGTCCGGCCAGCTGGTGAACTGGATGTGAGTCACCTCTCTTCCGGTTACTTTTTCTTTTTTCTAGTCAAGAGAGAATATTTCCTTTGAGATGATTTTTTTTTCAAAGCAAACGACCTGACATAAGTAGAAGGGAGGACCACTATGAAAAACCCCTCATGCACGTTTTTCAGCCACAATTACAGTTTCCTTTCCAATTAATAACTAGTCATTGAGATGCCATGCAGGATTGGAGTGCACTAACTAGTAAGCACAAACTTACCAGCAAGTAAGTAAGACATAGTAGGTGTAGCTGAAACTGCTAGGAACTTTCATGCTGCCAAGCCAAAAACAGACAAACAAAAAACCACAAAACAGAACCAAACACACAAAAAAATGGGGGTTGGTGGGTGGGTGTTAAAAGATATAAAGTAAAAGCCATTCGCACAGCTTTTTGAAATACTTCTGCCTGGTAGGCCAGCAAACAGGACTATTTGTCACGTGAAGACAGACTGATTAATTATTTGATTAACACAGTATTTGTTAAGCCCTCTTGTATTAGAAATGTCAACTCAGCCTGCAGAGAGAGAGCTGAGGAAAGTCAGCCCCAGATTACAGCTCATGTTTGTTCCAATTCCAAGTTAACCACCAGAAGATGCATAATTCATAATTCTGTGACCAGGTATGAAGAAGAATCACCCACATTTAGATAACAAAAGAACCAACAAAACTTGGCTGGTTGTAATTTTCTGGTAGGACAGAACTGAATTAATTAAGAACAATGATGAAAGACTAATCAATGCAACCAGATCAGCCTTGACCTCTACTTCTCACCCATATCTATGGTTTGGGGGTCTTCGTGACTTAGTCCATCATATATTTAGCCATGAACCATTGGTGGGATTGTTCCACAGCCCTCCATGGGCATAGTGGCTAGTGATACCATGGGAAACTGGGAAGGCCTTGGGAGAAATCCACAATTGGTATTTTTTTCTTGCAGAAAATGTATCTGGACCACATGGAAACACAATGTGGATTACTAAAAACCCCCCAATAAATGGAATTCAGAGAAAATTTCAACCTATCTATAAAAACTTCCATTTTTAACAGCTTTATTAAGATATTTTTCACATACCATAAAGTTCATTCATTTAAAGTGTAAATTTTTTTTATTATATTCACAGAGTTGTAAAATCATCACCATTATCTAAGGACATTGTCATTACCCCAAAAAAGAAACCCATACTGATTAGCAGTCATTCCTATTCTTGCTCCAACCCCCTAAGTCCCAAGCAATCACTAATAAACTTTCTGTCTTCATAAATTTGCCAATTCTGGACTTTTCATATAAATAGAATCATATAATATGTGTGAAGACTTCCATTTTAACTATTGTTTAAGGCCACACTGACAGTTTTCTTTACTGAACTAAACATTTTATCTCTCCTACATAGTCAGAACTTTATACTCCTTACACTAGTCTCTAATTGTGCCATTTGTATAAATATTCTTTCCATAAGGGTGATAAACCCATTGAGAATAGGGACCATTTTATCATTCATTCATTCAATAATTCAGTCATTTGTTCAAAAGATTTAATGAGCCCCTTTCTTTTTACTTCAAGGGTCACAGCATTGTGAATACTTTTGATGTGACCTGGACAAAAACCTGTGACTTGACCTGACCCTCTTGGCTTGTGTTATTGTTCTAAACCAACCCTTCCTCCTGTAGGTCATTAAAAATAATTTTTCCCAGATATATTTTAATTTCTCACATTTAATATTCCATAATTGTATTTTTATACAAACAGTATGAAAATAAAATTATGTAATAAAACAAACTCACATTTGTAACATTCAGCTTCTGAATGATATAATCTGGACATCTTTTGTGCTCATTGATCTTCACAACAACATCTCCAAAAGCCCGGCTGCCCTCTTCCATTGATGGCCAGTATTCTGCACACTTGTTCTATATTTTAAAAAATCATTAATTATTCCAGTTTTTCATTTAAACAAATTTGTTTATTAAACAGTTTTTTAAAAGAAACAAAACAAAAATTTAAAATTTATTCTTCTGAAATTCTCAAAATATTTGTATATTCTCCTTTGTGATGCTTGAAATGTATTCTATTTCCCAGGAATGTGTCCTGAAGGATTTCCTAACTATCTAGCAGAAGGATGATCTTCCCAGGCTTAGTTGCATGTTAAAAGATGACGTGTTTGGTGGTCAGCAGAAATGCTGTTGTTGCATGTGGTTAATTTCAGGCTGCTGGATGGGCAGGCTTTCAAGCTTCCTAAGGTAACATTACATGAATGACCACCTACCTGCCCCAGGTTGGTTTTGTGTCAAGGATTCACAAGTACTTGTGAAATCTGCACATAGAAACGTACAGAACTTATGACAATACCCCAAAGAAATAGGAATCGAATATAACTCCAGCAATTAAGCAGAAGCATTTTAATTTTATTCATACATACATATATTTATATATGTCAAAATTTTATTTTTCTACATGTAAGAAAAATTTAAATCAAGCATTATACTGATTGAAATAGAGAACTGTGCGTTTTAGCCATCAAGCACATATCTGTGGTTTTTCGAAATGCAGTTCAACACTCTCTTTTCCTAACCCCAGGCTCCACCCTATGAAGCCATAAACCTTCACCCTATGAATCGCCGGGGTCCTTACCCTGTTTCCTTCTTCACATCGAGTGACCATGACAATAACCGTGGCTTTCTGTTCCCAGATCATCCGCCAGAAATCATCAACAGTTTCATCCCTGGGACCTAGGAAGTAAACAAATACAAACTGATAAGAAGTATCTTCTTAAAAGTGCTACAAAACAATTTTTCAAAAAGAATATTGGACTATCAGATAAATTACCTTGTGCAGCAATGTATTTCCTGGGTTCTTTGAAACCCTGTTCAAAACACACACAAAGGTATATCATTTACTGAACACTCCATTATTCACTTACATGTAAAACTGTGAGTTAGAGGAAGTTGCTTTAGATCCACCATTCTTGGTTCTAATTTTCCTGGGTATTTTCAGATTATAAGGGAGATTTTATTAACTCATGATCAGGCATTTAATTGTGCCAAATATGTTAGTTAGCATTATAAACAATATTCATGACTTTGTGTCTTTGATATATTCCCAAAACAATTTAAAAAACTAGACTTCACCCTCATCTAGGATGATGCAGTAATTTACAAGAGTAATTCAGTCATTCCTATATTTTATATCCTGCCAACCCCTACAGCACCATCTGCCACAATTTACACCTCCTTACCAGACACATAGCTACTTTGGGGATTTTTACTCAATTTCTTTCAATAAATCACTCTGAGATTACCCCACACTTCTACCTTACAACTAGTGCTGGGATACACTGATGATTCCCCAGACTCTTTTTCTGCCATTCTAGGTAAAAGATACAATAATTTTCATTTCATTAAGTATAACGCCTGCTTTCTCCACTCCTGTTAGAAAGGCAAAGAAGGAGTACAGAGACAGAATATTGTGCTAATTCCTTCCAAAACTATCTCATATTCCTTAAATTCACCTCAGCAATCAGAGAAGCCCGTCAGAGAGGTAACCTTTGCCATTACATGAAACTCAGTCACATGGGCCACAAGAATTCACGATTAATCTCAGTAACTTCTTGAAACTTCTATCTCATGATATAGTATTACCCATACATTCATTCATTCAACAAGTACTGATTGAATGTCTACAATATGTCAAGTACCTATCTAAAAGCTGAAGACACATGCTTTCCAGGAGCTCCCAGCTCCACTGGAGAAACTAACTGGATAGCATAATTACCATATATATTTGAATAGAAAATAGAGATTATTTTTCTTCCAGAGACTATCTAAATCCTTATAAAATCTCCTCTCAATTACTTTACTTTGAAGAACAAATTATTATTTGGAAAAGACACTATACACTAAAGTAAACTTGATCAATGCTAATCGTGAAGACCTACAGAGGTCGCTTGTAGAATCAATTAAAATAGAGGTGGAAATTATGACAGTACTAGTAATTATTTTTGCACTATGACCTCACATTTGTTAGCGTTGGTTGTCATTGTACACAGCCTTTTGAGGATCGTATGAAAAAAGAATAGAGACAGAAATTGCCTTGTAGATATCATGAACACGTCAGGGAAGGAGATATTTGTTGCTTGGGATAGATTTTCCAGGGATGACATTAAGCAAGAATACACGAAGTATTATGTCTCTGACAAAGTTGATGGGAGGCAGGACACTGTACAGGTTACAGTGCTGTCTCTAGAGAGAGAACACTTGAGAAAAAAACCCAGCTCTGCTTCTACTAGCAAAGTAGGGAACACCTCAAAGAGTTGTTGTGAATTTTAATTGAATTAGTATATGTAAGGCACTTAAAATGGTGACTGATAAATAGCAAATGTACTATACAATAAATTGTATTATTATTGTCATAATAGCCATCATAATCATGAATGGCAAGAATTTTGCTTTGGAAAAATCATTAGATGTCTCAAAAAGGAAATTAATTAATGATTAGGACACAGATATTCTCTATCTAAGTAGAAAATATTTTAAAATTATTCTATAACTTTACATAAACTGTGTGTAGTGAATAATGTTCCCCAAAAACTCATGTCTACCCAGAACCTCAGGATGTGACCTTATTTGGAAATGGGGTCTTTGTGGATGTAATTTGTTAAGATGAGATTACACTGAATGAAGATGGGTCCTAAACCCAATGACCAGTGTCTTTATGAGAAAAAGGAGACACAGTAACATAGAGACACTCAGGGAAGAAAGCCCTGTGATGTTGGAGGCACAGATTGGAGTGACACAGCTACAAGCCAAGGAAAGCTAAGAATTGCCAGGAGCCACCAGAAGCTAGAAAGAGGCAAGGAAGAATTTTTCCCTGAGCTTTCAGAGGGAGCGTGGCTCTGCTGACACCTTGATTTCGGACTTCTAGCCTCCAGAGCTGTGAGAGAATAAATTTCCATTGTTCTAAGCCACCCAGTTTGTGGTACTTTATGCCAGCCCTAGGAATCTAATACACTGTGTAAATTAATAAATAAATTATTATAATTTGACCATTTCCCCTACTCCACTAAAAGTTTATATATTCAAGTAGACCAAAACAAAGAAAGAAAGAAAGGAAAACCATCTATTTCAATTGCTTTTTCTTTAAGAAAAATTTGGGAATTACCTTATAAACCAGCATATATGGTAGCATGACATAGACTTTTTCAACTATATGATTGTCAAAAAAAATTTTGGTAGTCACTTTTTTGGCAGTCTGTGTGGAAATAAGCACTTTCATGCATTGCTGGTGGAATGTAAATTGGTGCAACCCCAGTGGAGGACCATTTATAGTCTTTTAAAACTATAAATGCATAATCTTTTTGACCTGGCACTTCTTTTTTTTTTTTTTTTTTGGTAAGATTTTATTTATTTTTTTACCCCCCAAAGCCCCAGTAGATAGTTGTATGTCATAGTTGCACATCCTTCTAGTTGCTGTATGTGGACGCGGCCTCAGCATGGCCGGAGAAGCGGTGCGTTGGTGCGCGCCCGGGATCCGAACCCGGGCTGCCAGCAGCGGAGCGCGCGCACTTAAGCGCTAAGCTACGGGGCCGGCCCTGACCTGGCACTTCTTCTTTTAGGAGTTTACCCTATAAATATACAGAAACCCGCTGTGAAATAATATGAGTCAAGATTATTTATTAAACCATTGTTTGTAATAGCAGAAGATTAGAAACCACATTTAATGTTCATTAACATAGGAACTCATTGAACATCACAATGCAGTTACACCATGAGTTACTTTAAAAATATAAAAGAAAGATGTAGAAATGCTCTGTGTCTGGAGTCAAGAAACTATAGCTGGTGAGCCAAATTTAGCATGGCCTGATTTTGTAAATGAATTTTTTTGAAACACAGTCACATCAGGTATTGTCTGTGGAAGTGTGTCCACTCGATTGCAGAGCTGAATAGTTGAGACAGAGATGATATGCCCAAGATATTGACTATCTGGCTCCTTACAAAAACTTTGCCAACCCCTGCTCTTTATAATGATATTCTATATGTCCAAGATATATATTTTAGGTGAAAAAAGCATGGTACAGAACAGAGTGAATATTATGTTAAAATTTTTGGATAAAAGGGAGGATAATAAATGTTGATGTTTTCTTGCTTATGTATAAAGAAACTCTAGCTGGGTAAATAAGAAACAACATAGAGGTGACCTCTTCTGGTAGGTGGGGGCACTGGGCAAATGGTGAGGTGAGTATGAGGAAGATTTTTTTTGAGTTTATATATATTTTTATACTGCTTAAAAATTTTTTAACTCATGATGTATTATTTATTTATTTAACAATTATATAATAAATTAAATTTTAAAATATTTTGGATAAATTAACCATGTACCAATATTTGGTTTTGGACAAATACAATGAACAGATGATCTAGGTCAACGAAGATCATCCTGGCTGGAATACAATGTTATGTAACTGAAACACAACCATTTGGAGTCAGACAGGCCTGGGTATGAATCCCAACTCAAACTTTTACTAAGTGAACAAGAGCAAAGCAACTGGTTAACCAGAGCCTCCCAAACCTCACCTCTACCGCAAGCATAGTGCACAGGCCAGGGCAAATGCGGGCTCTTAGAAGAAATAGATACATAGATCCTTTAGTCTAATATCCAACACATTATAGACACAAAGTATTTTAGTTCTTAGTATCATTTTGTCTGGAAAAATTCTATATTACACCTACTATATAGGCAAATAATAAATAACTATTCTTGCAAATATTACTGATTTAGTTGTTTATATCAGTGACATTATAGGCTTACTTCAAACTATTTCTGACATATCTAAAATTTTTCCATGACAAAGAAGGAACTAAATGTAATGCATAGATACAATAAAAATGAAAATGACCAGTGACAAAATGACGAAGACATAAAATAATCTGGCAGTTATGCATTTTTACTCACATCAATATAGCTGGCATTGATATAATTTGACCCTGCATCTCCATTTATATCAGAGAGTTCAACACGGTTGTAATCATCTATTCAAAGAAAATAAACATAAATAAATGAAATAATGAATAATCAAGTAGCCTAAATATACATAAATCCAATTCTCAATGAGTACTTACAAGGAAGGATGTCAACATAACGGTTTTTATTTTGGTTAAAGGGTTTTCGAGCATCCTTGATAGAAAACTTGCTGAACACCCGTGGAATGCTCTGAAAGACACAAAGATCCTTTGGGTCACAGCAGATTCAAGAAAAATAATTTTTCCCTTGCCACTTATCATTTTGAGCAAATGAGACATCCTCTAATGTATTTCCTTTATACTGATGAACAAGTTGCATATGGTAATTGAAATTAATGTTATTAGAAATTATGCAAAAAACACTTTAAAAAATGATTGGTGGACTACTTTCAGAATAAATCCCAAGAGTGACAGCAAATTTAGAATTAATTGTTCTGCCACTTTAAAATTCATTTAAAAATACATACTTGGATGATTACCTAGAGTACAAGTACAAAATCTGCCAAATATGTTTGGGGACACCACTTCGTAACTGGTAATAATATAGTGAGACGTTATTTTGAAATGTTTACTGGTTCCAAGACTATGAGTCTCTCTGGTCTGTAAATATCTGCTAACAGTGTCTGCTCTGACTATGTTGCAGTATTTTATGTGGGATAAATTATAAAGGCAAATGGTAATACAATACATTTAAAACGGAATTATCTTGATCATTGAGAAAAATTTCTCATCATCTATCAAGAAGAACACACACCTGAAATTCAGCCAGAAAAAGTCTTCCTTCGTCAGCAATCTTTTTCTTGTAAGTGTCCAACAAAATATCTGCATGGATTGGCTCCACGTTCATCAGCTGTTTCTCATCATCTTGAAACATATTAAAGATTCAGGACTGATGTTATGTCTAGCTTTCAAATCTTCATATAAATTTTATTTAACTTATATCTCGGCTTCAAATCTTAGCTTCTCTCCTTCTCCACGCATTTCACCTGGAAACTCTTGCTCACATATAAAGATTCCCCTATAAACCCATGACTTCTAAATCCTGTGCTCCAGCCCTTCTTCTGGACTTTATCTTAATCTTTCAGACTTACTCTCAGGTTTTCTATAAAGTTATCCCATAGGTTCCTCAAAGTCAACATGTTCAGAGTGAAAATCATTTTTCCTTTATTCTAGCATTTCAAATCTCAGGAACACGACCACCATTCACAAAGTAATTTGATATTGAAACTTCCAAGTCCTCCAAGATGTCTCCCTCTACCTATAGCCAATAGGGTATCAGGTCCGTTCCATCCCTCCTGCCAGCGGTCAGTTTCAGGTGCTCCTACTTACCCATGTAACTACATCTTCCTAACTCCTCTCCCTGTCTCCAGTCTTTCCCCAAACTAATTTATCTCTTAAACTGCTACAAATTAATCTTCTGAGATACTAACATGAGCAGGCAACTCTACTTGTTTAGAAAAAAAAAAAAAACCAACACTATTGTTAGTGTTCCGTTGCCTAAAGGCTAAAGTTTAAATGCTTTATGTGATAGATGAGCCCTTTTGTAATCTCACCCAACCCATCTTAACCACACTATTTCCCACGCGCTTTCTTTACACCTGATGTGTGAATATTCTCCAAGTGCTTCACACAATTTCATATGCCCATGTCTCTGCACATATTGTGCTCTCTGGGTAGGATGTCCTTCCTCACTGTCTATGTTTAGAGCTCAGATTCCAGGGCATAAAGTGGTGAGTGAGCAAGGAAAACCTCCCTGCCTTCACAAAACTCACATCCTAGTTAGGGGAGGAGAGTTAACAAACAAATGAAATATCTAATTCAATGTCAGGTAGTGATCGACTCTGCAAAGGAAAATAAAGCCTACTGAGGAGCTCCAAAGAACCAATTCTAAAGCTCCTGCTGACGGACTTGGTCCTGCTCTTGCCAAAGGGAAACCCCTCAAAGACAAGTTAATACGAGATGATGGTGGGGTTCTGAAATTCCTCCTGTCTTGAATATGAGAAAACAAATCATTTTCTCTGTTGTAAACATAGTTTCAATTTATTTAACTCCATCCCCTTTTACTGGATCAAGCATCACATTTGAAAAAAGAAATTAAAGAAATAATGTAAAAGTTGGAAAAAAAAGAGAAAAAATGGAATTTGTTTTCCTCTCCTAAGTCAAATTACAATTTTTTGTCATATCCATAAATGTGCCTTTAGTGGGAACAACTACCACCCCGCCCTTGCAGGGCTTGATCACACTTACCACCTGAGCTTCTCTGACTTTCCATCTGCTTTTCCCTCCATCACTCTCGCATTGGTTGGTCTAATGTTTCCCCACAACCTTAGGAGACCTAAATTCCTGCAGTTTTCTATCTTCTATCTTTCTAAAGGCCCATACACATTCAATGACTATGGCATTTATTAAATTGCTGTCATATTTATCAATATTTTTGTCTTTCTCTATTAGATTCTAAACCCTTTACAAGCAGAGTCTGTGGCCTGTCACTGCTGGCACAATATTTGGCATATACTCTAAAATTCATAGATACTTGCTAATTGAATAAATAAATGAATTCAAGTTTCATCATTGTATCAACAGAGGAAGTCCAGGTTAGGTAAAGGTTGAATTCTTATTTTAAATGAATGGATTCAAATGTGGGGGAGATATTTGCCAGTAAAAAAATATGCATACTTACCCCTTTCAACAAGCTCCTGTTGTTCATCTAAATTGCTGTGAAAATAAGAAATGGAAGTTTCTGTATTCTTAAGAAACAGAGAATTCAGTTGGCATTCAATTTATATTTAATGAATGTATTGAAGGAAGGAGGGAATGGAGGCAGGGAGGATAAAAAGGAAATGAGGGGAAGAGAAGGAAGGAACGAAGGAAGGGGGGGAGGGGACCATGATGGGAGGGGACAGAAGAAAGAAGAAGGGAAGAGAGGCGGGCAATGGAGGAGGGAGAAGGAGAGGAAAGAAAAAGCAGAGGAGGAAGAACCAACCAAGGGTTGTCTGCTAAACTCAGAGAAGTGACTAAATTATTTTAAAACTCTTGTTTTTCATAAAATGTGGTTGTTCCTGGCCAAAGGAATACATACACTCCCCTAAATATTTCTCTCTCTTCTATTGCCTTCGTCATTCCTAGCTTCCTCTGATGGACTTTGTACTAAAAGAACAGACACACATTCTTCTCGTTGGCTATTATTAAAAGAAATCCATAACATTATTAGTGAATGTAGAAAATATTAATGATACCAGCTGGAGACAAGGTTGACATAAGGGAAGCCATACTGTAGAAAAGAAAAACTCTATTGTAACTTTGAATGACCTCTGACTAACTAACCCAGCTGGATCTGCACCCTCCAGGAGATCTAACTGCTCTGTAGATTTTACAGCCCCTGCTTGTGCATGTACCTCCCAGCTGTGATAAGATGATAACTTTGTTTTTTTGAGTTCCTTAGGAATGTGATGACCCCCAAACAGAGAATCTGTGCTGATAGCCATCATCAATGAAAACTGAAAGATCTGGTGTGGCACTCCCAGTCTGTAACACCAGAAGGTCAACATTCCTAACCCCCTCCCAACAACCCAATGGCCTATATAACTGCTGTAAGATTTGTGCCCCCTTAAGATGGTTCTTTTGGACATGAGTCAGCCATCTTCCCTCTTGCTAACAAGCTGTAATAAAAAAGTCCTTTTTCTCCTACCACCTTGCCTCTTGACTATTGGTATGTCTTGCGGCGAGCAGAAGGCCCCACGTTGGGTGGTAACATTAATATTTCATGTAAACCAACAAGCCCGTACGAAAAGTCTTTGATCGAAAGTTCAGTGATGACCTGAGCTTCATGCTGTCTTCTCATTTTTCACTTAACTGGTTCGAAACTTGCCTCATAATGGGTGCTTTCATTGTTATTATCACTATTATTTTTTCATTTTGAAGTCAACTCTTACCTGGATCTTTTCTTATGCAGATCATAGATTTTATAGAGGACAATCAGCAGGGCTATTGATGTCACAATAATAAGAAATACCAGAAATATAATCAAGGCTTTAGAATTATCTAGAAATAAAAAACACCACATGAAGAGAGTTTATTATGTTAAATGTTTTGTTGGATTCTTTGAATAATCACCTGCAAAGTACTTTACATTTTAATATTTTTATTTGTTTTGAGATTTTCAAAAAATAAAATTTTTAGAATGAGATCAAATGCAAGAAATTCTTGATTTTGTGAATTTTGCCTCTATCATTCAGAACCAATAAAAACATTTCATATTTTAAGAGAGTAATTAGAGTATAGAAGAACAATTCTCTTCCCTTCCATTAAATAATGTCATTTTATGAGATTTTGTCATTTAGATTTAACTCTTTCAGTCACCCCATTTTGAAGGGATCAAAGAAGTAATCTAGTTGTTATAATTCTCAGAGAGAAAGTCATATAGTTTAACGTCATTTGCAGAAGTGGGTGGCCTCCTACGGGGATCAGAAACTCCTCTGTCCCACAAAGATGAACTTCCTTAGCTACTCATTGAGGTATAAAATCAATTAACCAAGGGACAAAAATTGTTTGACCCTACAGTTAGGATTAGATTTACCCTGAGGTAAATTTTCACTAAGGTTTAATGTGAAATCATGCCTTTTCTTGGAGGAATGGCAGAGAAAAGAAAGTGTATTGGACTATCCCCTGCCCTGAATTAGTATATCATACTCTTCATATACGGTGAAAATGCAGCAAAATAATGCAACAATTAAAGGCCTCAGCTCCAGAACCAGACTGTTGAGGTTCCAATCCCAGCTCTGCCACTTCCTAGTTGGGTCCTTGGCCAGAATCCTTATTATCTTTGTGTCTCTACTCTGTAATCCCTAAAGTGAGGTTAAATGAGTTGATTCACAGTAAACATTTAGCACAGTGCCTGGGATGTAGAAAATACTAATTATTCACTATTCACAAACAAATAGTTTTGAGTCTTACTGTGAATTTAGTGACTCAAGATATCTTGGAGAACAAAACAAAGATCCCTGTCCTCTTGGAACTGACCTTCTAGGGAGGAAAGACAGACAATTCACAATTATGTAATAGATAAGCAAATGGTGAAGTAGGTCAGAAGATGATCAAGAACGTGAGAAGGTACGGGAGTTGGCTCAGTGGATATCTGGGGGATGCATGTTCCAGGCAGATGTACAGTCACAGCAAGAATCTGAAGGCAGGAGCATGCTGGCATGTCTGAGGAACAGCAAGGTTGCCAGTGTGGCCAGAGTGGAGTGAGTGACGCATGAACAGCAGGAGATGCCACCTGGGAGTGTGGCAGTGGGGGAGGGGGGGAGAAGGGTCAGAATTTTAGGGTCCTGTAAGCCATTTTGAAGACACACTGGTTTTTGAGTTAAATGTGCAGCACCTGCAGGATTTTGAGCAGAGGAGTAATCTACTCTGACTTGTGCACTATACAGAGCTTTATGACTACTTGTTGAGAATGCCATCATCCAGGCAAAATATGACAGTGGTTCAGACCAGGCTGCTAGCTCTGCAGTTAAGGGAAATAGTCATATGGATGTACAGTTATGGAGATCTGGAAGGCTGTGGGTGGAGCAGGCTTCAGGGAGAACAGGAGCTCAGTTTTGGATTTCAGAGTTTGAAAGAACAAGTAGACATCTAAGTGGAGATGCCAAGTACAAAGTTGGATACACAAATCTGGAACTCTTGTACCATGAATCTTCCAAGAAAAGGTCAGGGACTGGACACAAATTTGGGAGTCTTCAACATAGAGTTGTTATTTAAAGCTATAAGATTGAATAATTCACCAGGAAATTAAAATTAGATAGAGGAGGAAAAAAATCCCAAGACCGAGTCTTAAGATACTCCAATATTAAAAGGTTGCAGAGGAAAGATGGAACTGGCCAAGGAGATCAATGAGCGAAATAGGAAGAAAACCAAGAGTGTGGCATCCAGGAAGCCAATTTAAAAGGAAGTATTTCAAAGAGGAGGGATTATCAACTACAACAAATGCTGCTGATGAGTCAAGTTCAATGAGGACTGACAATTGACCTTTTGGTTAAGTACAAGGGAGGGCACTGTGAAATTTGACAAGAGCAGTTCTAGTGGAAAATAGTCAGACCCAAGAGAAAATAGAAGGAGAAGAACCAGATACAGCCACAATAAGTGTCTTTTTCAAGGAGATTTACCATTGGGAGGTGCAGGAGGTAAAGAGATATCTGGTAGATAAAGAGGAAATAGGGTCAAAAGAAATATTGTGGTTGTTGCTGTTTGTTTTTAAGATTGTTTCCAGAACGTGTGGATAAAAATCTCATCAGAGAAGCAATCATCTAATCTCATCTTCCTCAAGTAAATTACTAAAATGAAAGGATGTTATTAGCAAAATAGAATATCGTGAACTGAGATTTTGCAAGAAATTGCACCAAATGACTATGAGTAAGCATTTCAATCCATAGCAATTAATCAAGATTGGCTCCATAAAAACATTGCATAGCTTCAGACTTGCCTTGATAAACTTATTAATAATAAAAGAACCAAGTCTTCAGATATATCTGGTGGCCTAAGCACATGTGTTTTTCTCTCTTCTCTCCAGAAACTCCACTAATATTAAAGAACTCACAGTGGCATAGATCCACAATGGCAGAGAGAACGAGATAAGGGAAACTAGAGGTAGAGAGATTTCAACAAGTTCTGGAAGGTAGAAAACAAAAGAGAGGAAGCCACAACCCAAATAGCACGCTGTGAGGGATAGATACCAGTTACTCCGAATGCCTGAGTCTCAAGTTAGGAGGTACCATATTCAGTGGAAATGGATCATAGGACCAAAAATGCTACAGTCGAATGTCTATTTACAGAAAAACCAAACACCCCTTGAAAAGACACTCCTGGGGAGGAGACAGAGGTTATACTCTGAGAAAATTAAATGGAAGAGGTAAGAGACTCAAGGCAAAATCAGGCTCAGAAGAGAGCAGAGATGAGGCCCAGGACTGAGATCAGGAGGGCAAAGTAAATGTCTGCATATTAAGTGGTTGGACACCTGTCCCTCTGCCCTACCGTGAGAAGCACCATTCCCCCACACTTTACCTTGCTACAAGGAGTAGTACGTTGATTAATTTCTGGAGATAATGAATGGTACTAGAGAAAATAAATGAATAATACCACAGGCAATCTCCTCAGTCAATGAGCCCCTCAGAGGACCACAGAACTGCTAATCACCTTTTCCCATTGTCTCACTCTAACGATGATCAGACGGCCAATAAGAACCAAACTCTCAAGGAAACCCTCAACACAAAAGAGGCATGCCAAAATAATAAATCAGCTTGTGAGTTCAAAATGTGACTAATAGGAGCTCCAAAAAGAAAATGGAGCAAAGAAAATTTGTCAGAGATATAAGTTTCCAGGTCATCAAGCCAATAATATCCAGGAAAATAAGTGGAAAAGACCAAAAAAAAAAAAAAGGAAAACCTAAAAGTTCCAGGGAGAAAAAATATAGGAACAAAAGAATATATGCAAATATATATGCAAATATACACAAAAAGAATGAGGAGCATGATGGCATTTGAAAGTAATACTGGATGCCGGAGAACAAAAAAAGAAACACTTTGTAAATTCTAGATTTTTAACTTAGAATTCTATATTCCAGATCGAAATATTGATCAAGTGCCAGAGAGGGATAAAGATATTTTCATACATGCAAGAATTAGAATATCTTCTTCTTACACTGAAGGATATATACCAGTAAAATTAGAAAAAAAAAATACATGAGATTCAGATGCAGCAACTCTAAAACAGGAAACTGATGAAGAAACCTTTACAATGGCAGCTGAGTCGCATCCCCAGAGAGTCCAGATCAGAACAGGAGGAAAAGGGCCCCAGGAATTCAACTGCTAATGTGTCAAAATACAGATGATGGAATGTTATGGCAGGGAAACTCAGCAATACATTTCTAGTAGGTGTACTCTTGGCCATTCACAACCCAAGACCTCCCCTGGAGTAGATATCACCATTAAAAAGTAACTGTATTATTTATCTCTTATGAAAATGTTATTGTGTGCAAAGTTAACAAAACTTTTTCTGCTTTATGGAAAAAGGACCATGGGATAACTCTCTAGTTCTGTTGATGTGGAAATCTGATAAAGATGGAATATTAGCTGTGTTACCAAGCAACTTTGCTAATGGTAAAAATGATCTGTGATTGCCAAACTGTATCCGGACAGGGAGGGTTCTGTATGAACTATGCTGTCCTGGTGGGAAGTCCCCAGCTTTGGGTACATCCCTACTGGCACATTTGGAAGCTGTGCCCATGGAACTATTATAACAGATACTGGTTCCTTCCTTAACGCAGGGCTTCTAAGCCAGGGCAGCTCCTGTACCCACACATGTGGTCTCAATTCTCTTACATCTCAGTTGCCTCTGGGAGGGTCAAAGAGTAGTCCCTGGACTGCAGTGTGCACTGCTACCAGGATTCCCACTGCCAGACTCCCTTGCTGGCATGCTGTGTGTCCTGTTCTGCGTCTCTCTGAGTGACATGGTCCCAGGTCTGGCCTATTATGGTGTGAGTGTCAAATGTTCAGTTGAGTCTATGATCCCCAGGAGTAGGCGCTGAGGTTATAAATTATTTACAAAATCAGAAAAATTCAACGAAGCTGTTCATATTGCAAGGGATTATAAAAGAAAAGTATTTATATAGAAATAAAATCAAAGATATCTGGCTGAATTCATTTGACATTTAACATTAGGAGATTTTATTCTATAAATCTGAGCAGAAAGAATTAAAATTTTATGTAGGGCTTAGAAAAGCAATTTGGAAAATATGCTGTTTTTGTATCTTCCCTCTTTGGGAGCCTCTGGAAAATAAAGCATTAGTGACTGTGCACGTGCCTAGGTGTGTAAGAGACAGACTGAGAAGTGGCAACATCAGAAACAGTCTGTGCTTGATAACAGCACAGAGAGCTTTAAATAATTTTATTCACAAAAGTAACAAGTAGAGAAAACTTAAAACAGTGTACTAAATCTTCTTCCTCCATAGGCTCAGATGAATAGGCAATGCTAATTACTCTAGAAAGAGCAGCAGACAATATTGTTTACATACATAGAGGAGACTCTAAAGAGAACCGAAAACAGAAATGGTGAAAAGTGGTCATTCTGGCAAGCAGAACGATGCGTGGGGAGTGGTGACACACAGGTGTGATTTTCATTATTATCATGACATTTTGATTTAAATAATTTTTCTAGATGCATCTTCATTTTGATTAAATATTTTTAAATATTAATGATGAAAAAGTAATAGTCATATTGTTATTAGGGAATGCTTAGCTTAGCTTCATTTGGGTAAATCAGGGCAGATTTGTATCTAAAGCCAGCTTCTGTCAAGCATACCATTGAGGGACAGAATAAGATAAATAGGTAACAGTCTCTAAACAGTACACAAAACAAACATGTTTTGTTACTAACATGAAGGAGTGTCATAATCATAATTTAATAGTTTATGCAGATAAATCTTCTTATGAATTATTTTATGAAATCAATCCTTTAATAATTGAATCTCCTAATTTGAATTTAAGATTTTGTATTTTAATATAATGTTCACCTATACTTATGTTTTTCCAGACAACTTAAAATATTATGTTTATGGGAAATAAATAATTTAAACATTTAATAGTTAAACATGAGTATGAATGTAAAATAATAAAGTGCTAATATATATTTTAATATAAATATAATATAATAAATAGTCAAGTAATGACTTACAAGATGTTGTTTCTGAAACACTTTTTGAAAGTCCATGATGTTTCTTATTATTATAGTAGACCTGAATTTCAGTAATAAAAGAGAAAATTGTTTTCTAATGTAAATTTATACATCATAATGTAACACATAACATTATTTTTCATACAATGCTATTTATTTTCATTAAAAATATACTGGTTAGGAGCCAGCCCCGTGGCGTAGTGGTTAAGTTTGGCACATTCTGCTTCAGCAGCCTGGGTTCGTGGTTTTGGATCCTGTGCACAGACCTACACCACTCGTCAGCCATGCTGTGGCAGCATCCCACATACAAAATGGAGGAAGATTGGCACAGATGTTAGCTCAGGGCTAATCTTCCTCAAGCAAAAACATGAGGAAGATTTGCAGCAGATGTTAGCTCAGGGCTAATCCTCCTCAGCAAACAAACAAACAAAAAAAGTTTATATATATAAAAACACTTCTTTAAGTGATAAAGATTATGAAGCCAATTGTCAACATTGTGTTAAACAGTCAACTATGGAAATTCCCATTAAACCAGAAATCAAAGTGATAGATTTGACTGAATAAAAGGGAAAATTGTGTATGACTTAAAGCACTGTAAAGAAAATTAAAAGGCAAACTATAAACTGAAAACAACATTTGCAACTCATATGGCAAAGAGTTCAATATCATTAATATCCCAAAAGCTTCCCCAAAGAAAACTGGACAAAGAAGGTAAAGAAAGAATATGTTACCACAAGAATAACAACAACAAAAACTATATTTATCTTCAACAGCAAGTGAAAAAAACTGACTAAAACAAAAAGAGATGCCAATACCATATTTCACATACTAAACCTAAAAGAAAAAGAAGGTCATGTCCAGTGTTGGTGAGACTGTCGAGAGCAGTCATTTCATATCCTGCCATCGGAAGGGTAGTTTAGTAATCTTAACAAGAAAAAAAAATTATCACGAAAATTCTTAAAATACATGTAAATTCCTTTTGACTCAACATATTATTTCAAACAGAAATGATTAAAGACACATTCAAAGATTTGCTATTTACCAGTAAATGTGTTTACTAATAGTTGTTTATAACAGAGACCAAAACAGGTATAGTTAGTAAAATGTAATAAAGCCATATGATAGAATCCTATGCAACCATTAAAAATTATATGGTATCAGAATATTAAAATGTTCATGATATAGTGATATATAAAAAATGCAGCTTACCAAACTATATATTCAGAATGTTGATAGTATATATGTGGGATATATATAAATGTGCATTACATATTATGGAAGTTGTGAGTTAATGGAAACTATATATTGGTCTCTGACCCCAGTTCCTGGCACAGAACTCCTGAAATCCTTATAATTTCCTAAGTGATAAGAGCACTTGAAGCACCTTTTGTTCTAATATTTGGTCTTTCGTCCTGGTTCCTGACACAAAGCTCCTGAAACTCTTGTAATTCCCTGGGCGATGGGAGTGTCTTTCATTCTAATGAGGTTACTCTAGGTGGGCTCCTGGATGGCTCCCGGATGGGGACTGGTCACCAAAATTACCAAGCCATGATTAGGAGCTTGAAATTTTCAGCCCTATCCCATTCTCTTGAGAAAGGAGGACTAAAAATGGAGTTAATGGTCTATCATGCCTACGTGAGGAAGCCTCCATAAAAATCCTAAAAGTATGGGGTTGGAAGAGTTTCCAGGTAGGCGAGCACATCCACACTGGGAGGGTGACACACCCCAACTCCACGAGGATGGAAGCTCCTGTGCTCAGGACCCTCCCAGATCTCGCCCTATGTATATCTTCACCTGCCTATTCATCTGTATCCTTTTATCATTTCCTTTAATTAACTGGTCAACCTAAGTAAGTATTTCCCTGAATTCTGTGAGCCACTCTAGCAATAAGTCGAACCTGAGGAAGGGGTCATGGGAACCTCTGATTTGTAGTCAAGTCTTACAGAAGTTGTGGGTAACCTGGGGACCCAGTACTTGTGATTGGCATCTAAAGTGGGAGGTGGGGCAGTCTTGCAGGACTGAGCCCTTGACCTGTGGGATCTGATGCTATCTGCAGGTAGACAGTGTCAGATTTGAATTAAATTGTAGGACACTCAGCTGGTGTCACAGAGACTTGCTTGATGTGGGGGAAAACCCTCTACACATTTGGTGACCAGAAGTGTAAAAGTGAAGTGTTTCATGCGAATAGCAAAGGAGACTCACAGAGAAGAAACAGACAAGAGATTGAATGAACTGAGGATTTTCCCTACAACGAGAGAGAAAGACTGCATTTTTCCATTTTAGAAGCATATACACAAAATACAATCAGTGGACAGTGAGCTTATGAGTGAGCTTTTTAATTCTCTATGTTCACTGGCATTTCCTAATATTTATTTCTACTATTTTCTAAACTCAATATACCTGTAAAAATTTTTGTAATTAAAAAAACCACATTAGTAAAGATAAAAAGCCAAGGTAAATAAAGTATTTAGCAGAGTAATCATCTATTGTGCGTTAAATGTTGCGCTTGTTGATAAAGGAGCAATAATTTAGTTATAAGTAAATCATATGGAAGGTCAAAAATATTCCAACAAAATACTTGCTTTAAATCACCGGTTTCAGGGCTAGGGATGAAAAGTTTGGAGTCAAACTTCTCAGACGTTTAGTGTGTGATTCCACCAGACATCAGAGCTTCTCAAGCTCACGTGAGCACTGGTCTTAGTATTATTTAAGTACCGCAAAATAATCATAACGTAAATAAGTATTGTAGTGATTACGGAAATTATAATCTTACCTCAAACGTATATGTTGTTGAATACTGAAGGTTTTCTACAGAGAAGTGGCAATTTTTGCCTGTTTCCTCTCTAGCCAGGTACTCTCCAGTTTTGACTTTCAAAGAGTAGTTGTATGGGCTGGGGCCATTAACATCCTCAGGACTGTCACAAGTCACAGTCACACTATTATCTGAATTCCGCAAAACCTTCAGGTTCCTGACCTTGCTTGGAGCTATCAAAATGAAGAAAGAATTATTAGTGTAACCATTTGGTAAACGCATATTTAAATTACTTGACCATACATGTGTTTGTATAATTTAAAGTATTTTAAGTGTTAATTTGGGAATTATGGATGGGAAGTTATGATAGCACATACATGAAAAAGCTGTAAAAAGCATCTAAAAATAAATCATCTATTCATTCAATGAATATTAGCATATAAGTTGTCCTTGAAGCCATGAGAGTTTACGCAATCCCCCAAGGAGAGGGTGTAGAACTAGAGAATGGAGAAAAAGAGAGGAGAGTGGGGGAGCCAGGGGAAGGAGGAAGGATGACTGGGAAACCCCGAAGGCCTACACACAATCCAGGTCCTTCCTTCTTGAAGTGGTTGCATTATCCTGGTCAGCGCCTACCTGGCTGGATCCTTCAGGAGCAAAAACAAACTGTCTTTGTTTTCTGTGATACCACAGAAATACAGGAAAATAACAAAAGCATAAACTTGAGGACCTGGACTTTTTAAATCAGAACCTAAATGACATTAAGAGACTTCTATGTCCAGCCCTAAATAGGACAGTTTTTCTTCGTGAGCCTGGTGCCAGCTAGAGTCTCTGGAGCTATCAATTGTGCCTTACAGAGGGGATCTCTTCTTCCTTGAGCTTAATGGAGTTAGCATTCACCTCAGAGGCAGATCCAGCTTTGGGCCTGGGACCTATGGAGACATCATATAGGCGGCAAGAGCCAAATGCCATTGAAAGGAAACCTCAAATGGAAAACGTGACACAAAGTACAATAGCAGATAGTTCAGTGTAACAAAGAGAAGAAAATGCTAACAAAGTGTTACGTTGTATGAGGTGTTGCCTCAGGTGAGCAGAGGCCAGCAGGGGAACGCTTTGTGAATGAGACATAGTCAGATGTCTGACTGCAGTTAACACTCTAGAGGATAAAGAGGATCACCGAACATGCATTTTTATCTAGGTTGGTGAGATAATTAATTGCCTGAAACCTTATCAATTGTACCAGTTAATACGCCCTCGTGCTTCATTCTGACAATTCTATGATAATATCTGAAGAAAACAGAGAACTCAAGATAACAGTTTTAAATTATTGTATTTTAAATTATTATAAACCCTAGATGTTAACAAATGGGCCGGCTCAGTGTGTTTCCCAAATAAAACATAAAGATAGATGTACTGTACGCTAAAAAGTTCATACTTTGCTCCTTGCCATTCACACAAAGCAGCACTAAAGCATGTAACTTACGTGCTGTTCCTGTTGTAAAAGTGCATGTCACAGCAGTTCCACTCCGTAGTACTTTTCCGGTGACATGGGCACGTAATGATACACTATATTTTGTATAAGGTTTCAAATTTTGCAAATCATATTTGGTCTGACTTTTATCCGGATGGAAGCATTTTTGATCTCAGAAAAAAAAATGGAAACATTTATTAAGTCATTAAAAGTCAGGATTACCACATATTTAATTTAGTCTCCATAAGAAATCACTCTAAGCCAACTCCAAACTGAGTATTGAGAAATAAAGAGATCTTTGGTGCTCAGAAGTACATATTATCAGCAAATGTATTAAACAAATTCAATTATTATAAATAAACTCAAATATTCAAAAATTATGGTTTTGTATCATTAATTTGGTACATAAAGTATTTAATAATAGGCACATTTGTAAAACAGTTTCTTTCCTTTCTGAGAAAACACAGCCCACAGTCGATATTAGGGAAGTCTTGAGTTGGGATGTTTCAGAAAGATTATTTCTCAGTGAACCTTTTTCTGATACTAAATCTCCAAACTTCAAACATTAGTATTAGCTACTGCTATGGAATTTAGATGCAGAATCCATTTGATCACCAATAACTAGATCCACTCCACCATACTAATTGAAACACTACAGTAATTCACGGGGGCTGCAACAATGAGGGAAAACTTCACGCTGACAGTAGAATCTGAGCTGTTCATTGAAAGATGAGTGAGATTGCATAGGTGTAAGGGACAAAAGAAAACATTACAAAGGAAAGAAGGAGCATTTTGAGTTTAGGGACAAGCCTGACCAGGACAGCAGATTCTGGCTGGGGAGGCATATGAGAGATAGGACCTTGCCTGAGTGTGTTCTAACATCCAGGCAGAAGAGTTGGCATTCGTTAAGTTGAAAAATCACTAGCCACTGACTAATTTTGAGTAACCAAGTGACATCAAGAAAGATGCATTCAAGGAAGATTAGAGTGACAGCAGGCTACTGGATAGCAGCTACAGTAATGATAATAATAATAATACCAATAATGATAAGAACAATGAATAGATCACTCCATGTGCCAAGCACTGTTTTAAGTGGCATACATGAATTAATTAACCATTGCCACAACCCTATAGGTTGGCACTCTTGAGATCATCCGATTTTACAGATGAGAAAACTGAGCCATAGCAACATTAAATGATCTCTCCATGATCTCACAGGAAGGAAAGAACAGAGTCGGGATGGGACCCAGGCATTGAAGTTTGAGAATCCATGCTCTATTCTTCACCATTGTGCATACTGTCTGGTGTGGAAGAGGGGACAAGGGTCTGCAGTGGGGCCAAGCTTTTTCTTAGTCTTTTAGATACTTCACTTCTCCATTCCACTGGAATGCGCCTATGGACTTGCAGAAACAGTGTAAGAAAAGATATAACGCGTGCTAATTTTTTGTCTCAGTTACTTATCCATAAAATGCAGATTATAGTAATATCTCTACCTCACCATGGAATGCTAAACAGTAGGTGAGATAAAGTGTCTGTTCTAGCCTGGTTAAGCGTCTAATTTCTCAGAAATCTCCCAAGCTGGAGTTACTCGATTTACACCTGCCCAGTCCCTAGTGAGAATTTTCTTCAAGGGCAGAAAAGGTGTGAGCTGAAGAGGGACAGAAGGCACCCTCTGACTCATGGCTTCTGCCAGATCCTTATATGGGGGTCTGGCTGCTGGGACAATGCCCAGCTTCTTACTCAGCTACAATCCAGGTGTCAACATGCTATTCTCAAGATCAATGTGGCTTCCATTCAGTAATCTAATTTTGTATGTTTGCATACGTAACCTCACAACCACTCTTTATCTAAATGTTTCATTTATGTAGTTTTATGAAGCATTTATCTTATCTAATTTGACAAAAGGCAAATTGTTGATTTAATTTTGAACAATATGTTGTTCAAAAGATATTGTGTTGGGGGATCAAAGTTTTCACTGCTTAGAAAGGTGGTTCAGAATGTTCACTTCTTTTGCCAAGACTTTCAAGCCTTGGTTGAAAGGCCAAAATACTTGGTACAAACATCTCTGCCTGCTCTATGTGTTTGAACACTTTTTCTCAGGACTCTGACATCAGAAGCACAAATTGTATGGGACAAATTAAGGACTTATTTGACTTAGTGCTCAAAATTTGTTTTTCCTTAGGCCAACAGGGACATGCATAGCCTTCAAGTCATGCATGTTGCACTGGAAATGGCTAGAAAGACACTAGCTTCCTCACTTGTCACCTCTTTGTTTTTAGAAAATACCTCCGGAAATCCATTAGCGAATTCCCAATTTGGACTGCTCTAAAGGATCTTCTTGAACACTATGCCAAATAATATAAACTTGTTGATCCTCAAAAGATTTAGTGCTGCCAAAAAAAAAAAAGGTAGTTTTTCTCAAAAAAAAAAAAGCATTACACAAAATAATTTCCAGCAACGTCATTATGATCTTGAAGGGTGCTCATTGGTTTCAAAATTTTTTGTTCTATAAATTTCCACCATATACTCTGGTATACAAACTACTCTGTAGTAGAGAGGGTATAGAAAGTGAGAAATACAGTAAAGAATAGTAAGCAGAAGGTTCAGAGAACAGAAATGAAAACCAAACAATATGCTCATACAGAAGCCAAGTAACAAGAGGTGCCCAATGAGGCAGAGAATATCTAATTGTCTTGCTGTTTCACCTTCCTGTAATTCCCATTTTTCCTTTCTCATAGACATAACTTTTGAAATTACCATAACCTCAAATACATGGCCTATATTTCTTCTCCATAGCTTTTGAGTTCTTTTATACTAATTTGAAAACTACATGTGTATTTAATTTTGCATTAGCTGTTTGATTAAGATTCAAATAACTAGCAAAAACAATACGTTATCAAAATATAAAATACCATGCTGAAAATAATTGGTTTTTTACTTTTCAAAATTTTAAATTTATGTCTGGTTCCTACCCACCAAACAAAGAGATGGAATTCTGTGAGGTATTCAGCTCAATCCTCCCTTAAGCTATAGGTAAAGGATTAGTGAATGGGCTGTCCCAGGTGCTGAGGCTGCTCTGAGATGGTCCATCTATGCTCACTCTTTCTACAAGCATTTTAGATATTTTAAGTTTTCCAGAAAATGTTTGTTCTCTTAAACAGGCTCTCATTTGGAGGACTCATGATTGAACTGGTAATACTACTTTTTTTGGACTACATTTATTTCTGCAGAAATAACATAGATCTATGTTCCAGGATTCCACCTGCCATCAAACTGGCCTCCGTGGATAAATGGGTATATGTTCATTTTTATTCACTCAATATTTTGTGTGTATCAACTCAAGCAAGTTTTGGAAGGTGTATGTTTGTTTGTTTGTTTGTGTGCCTGAATAATGAGTTCAAACCAGTGCAGTAAAGAGTATTATCTTCCAGAGACTTTCTTTCTCCAGGCTTTGGAGTGTAAAGATTGGAGCTAAGACAGATCAAGAAAGACAAGCAAATATTGGGGATGTTCTGGGCTGTCATAGCTGGAGAGCTCATAGTGAGTGGAAGCAGTTCTAAAATCAAGGCATATAGGATGCCCATCACAGTTGCTGCGTAGAGAGCTCCGTGGCTCACTATCTCAATCCTCATTTCTAGTACTTTCCAATTCTTGATTTCTCTTTCTTGATATGGAATTAAATTCTATAAAAAATTACCTGAAGTGTTCTGATAACAAAGAGTAAAGTTGTCAAAAGAATTTTGAGGGGGTTTCCAGGTAATCTCTCCTTGATCTGAGCTTTTATTTCCACACATAAGATTTTCAGGCCCTTTTGGAACTGTTAAAAGAATAAGAATATAAAATATGAAAAATAAGACATGGAGAAAACATTCTTCATATTATAAGCATGCATTATTAATAACCATATTTTGATTTTATGAATAATGAAATTAAAAGAAAGATATCTGGCCTTATTAAACTTGCTTTAGAGGTCATTTAAGAGTAAATGTCACTGCAGAGGCACACTGTGGAACCTCAGCACTCCACTGACTTGAAGATCTCTGAGAACCCCCTCCTCACCTCATACATGTTATTGTCCAGCTGTCTTTGGATTTCTAGAGTTCACTGTGCTGAAAATCTGTCGTTGGTAGGATTGATAAATTTAAGTTATTATTTGGAGTAGCACTTGTCATTATTTCCAGTAACCAGTCATTAGAACTTGAGGTGAAGAAGGTAATAAATGCTTACATCAAATTTACGAGGTGTAATTTGCACTAAGCACACCCATTTGAGGTAGAGTTTGATGTGTTTTGACAAATATGTGCATCTACATAACCACCATCACAACCATGATGAACATGATTACAAGAACATGAACATGACGAAGATACAGAGCATTTCTATCATCCCCCAAAAAGTTCCTCTGTGCCACTTCCCAGTCAACTCAGCTCCCTTGTCCAAGCCCAAACACCCTCTGAACTGCTTTCTGTTACTATAGATTAAATTTGTCTTTTCCTTCACTTCATATAGATAGAATCAAACAGTAAGTGCTTTTCATGTCTAGCATATTGCACCCAATATAATGTTCTAGACATTCATTCAGGTTGTCTCATGTGTCAGTAGTTAGTTCTGAGTAGTATTCCACCGTAAGGATATACCACATTTTATCTATTCATTCAACTGTTGATGGACAGTTGGGTTGCTTCCCGGCTTTTCGCTTCTATGAATGAATCTGCTATGAATATTTGGGTAGAAGTCTTCATGTTAACGAGTTCTTTCCTCTTGGGTAAATATCTGGAGTGAAATTTCTGAGTCACTACTTTACATTCTCACCAATAGTACTGTCAGTGTTTTTAATTTTAGCCATTTTAGTGAGTGTGTAATGTTATAATCATCTCATTGTTACTTTAATTTGCATTTCCCAGAGGACTAATGATATCGAGCATCTTTTTGCTTATTGACCATTCGTATATTTTTTTTTCATGAAGTATATGTTCAAAATGCTTGCCCGTTTTTAATTGGGTTGCTTGATGTCTCATTTTGTAGATAGAAGAGTTCTCTTCACAGTCTGGAAAAACTTCCTTTGTTGAAAAAATTAATTATGGGTATTTTTTCACCGTGTATGGCTTGCTTTTAAATTTCCTTCATGGCTTTATTCAAAGAGCAGGAATGTTCAATTTTGATGAAATCTAACTTACAAAATTTCTTCTTTTATGATTCTTGTTTTTTGTGTCCTAAGAAATCTTTGCCTACACTAAAGTAACAAAGATTTTTCTCTAATGTCTTCATCTAGACATTTTATGGTTTTAGCTTTAGTGTTTAGGTCTACAATCCATTTTGAATTAATTTTTGTGTTTGTTGAGAGGTAAAGGCTTATGTTCATGTTTTTCTATACAGGATACTTGGATCATTTGTTGAAAAAACTACCCTTTCTCCCCACTGAATTGCCTTTGCACTTTTATAAAAAATAAGATATATTTTTTCTGGGATTTGTATTTAGTTACGTTGATTTATAAAGACTGTAATAATTTTAGTACTTAATATCCAAAAAAGTACTAAGTTTTTCTAGTTATGCTGAGGACTTAGCGTTTATGTCGTTTTATTTTTCTGCTTGTGGTTTTGAATTGTTTTGGAGGATTCTTGGGAGACATAGATTTAGGCAGCTCCCTTAGTCCTCAGGTATCTCTTCCATATGAAATTTTGAATCACTTTAGTATGTTCTGTCAAAAATACTGTAATATTATAATTAATAAGAAAGTTCAGTAATGTGGCAGATTGCAAGATCAATACAGAAAAATCAATCGGATGTCTATGCACTAGCAATAAACAATTTGAAAATGAGATTAAGAAAATACCACCATTATAAAAAGGAATAAATTTAAATCTAGTAATAAATTTATAAGTAAGTATCAAGAAGTGCAATTGCTGGATTGTATGATAAGAATACATTTAGGTTTTTTTTTGTGAGGAAGATGAGACCTGAGCTAACATCCGATGCCAATCCTCCTCTTTCTGCTGAGGAAGACTGGCCCTGGGCTAACATTCATGCCCATCTTCCTCTACTTTATATGGGACGCCGCCACAGCATGGCTTGACAAGCGGTGTGTTGGTCTGTGTCCGGGATCCGAACCCGCTGACCCGGGGCCGCTGAAGTGGAGCATGCGAACTTAACTGCTGTGCCACCGGGCTGGCCCCAAGAACATGTTTAGTTTTGTAGAAACTGTGAAAATGTCTTCCAAAGTGTCTGTCCCAGTTTGCATTCCTAGCAGCAGTGAACGAGAGTTCCTGTTGCTCCACATCCTCCTCAGCACTTGGCTGTGTCAGTGCTCTGGATTCTGGCCATTCTAATAGGTGTGTTGTGCTATCTCATTGTTGTTTGAATTTGCATTTCCCTGATGACATATGATTGGAGCATCTTTTCATGTGCTTATTTGCCATCTGCATATATACTTTGGTGATTATATACATTTTAATACACTGAAGATTCACTTTGCTAACATTTTGCTTACTATTCAGTAAAGAAGAGACTGGCCTATAGTGGCCTCACCTTTGCCCGAGTTTGGTATCCACATAACATTAACCCTAAGCCTATCCCAAACTCTAACAATAATCAAAATAAGGTCATAGATTTCCATGTCTTCTATATTGTGGAATAGTTTGAATGAGAGAGGATCTAACTGTTCTTCAAATATTTGGCAAACTTGCCTGTCTGCTTTTTAAGGGCAGGTAAGGTAAGCAGACAGTGAGTATGAAGTGAGTAGAGAGATACAGGACTATAATTTTAATTCCAATTTCTGATGCTTCCTAGGTAAATGTTCATAATTCTTATGTTATAGAAAATTATGCATTTTATCTAACTTTTCATGTTGGATGCAAAGTTGCTTTATAATTTGTAAAATATCCTTAGTTTCTTTTCTTTTTTTCACCCATGGGGGAGGGTTGTTTTGCTAGAAGTCTGACCATTTTATTATTATTATTTTCAAAAACAAGGCTTTAAATTTGTTAATAAATTCTTAGTACGTTTGTTTGTTCCCTCTTTCAATAATATGTACCCTAAGCTCTGTTATAGTCTCCCTTCTACTATCTTTGCATTTGTTTTTTGCTTCTTTTCCAAGCACTTTCCATTGATTTTCATTCAATATATAGCAAAGTGATAAATTTACCCCTAAAATATCACTTTATCTTCTATGAGGCCATAAAATTTTCCCCAAATATGTGTTTACTCAGATCTGAGTACCGGTGTTTCAAAAGGTGAATTTAGGCCATTTATATTTATAGTGACTTTTGATATACTGTGACATGTTTCTGTTATCTTGCCTACTGTTTTCTACGTAGTATTCTCTCTCTCCTTCCCTACCTCCCTGCTGCTGCCTTCTCCTCCTCCTGCCCCTTCCTCTTCTCCTTCTTCTTCACCTCTTCTCCTTCCTCTTCTCCTTCTCCTCCTCCTTCTTCTCTCTGTCTCTCTCTCTCTGTCTTCTCACTCTCTTTCTCTCTCTCTTTCTTTTCCTCTTCCTCTTCCTCCTCTTTCCTCTTCTTCTTCTTCCTCCTTTTCTTCACCACCTTTTCCTCCTCTAATATGTAGACCTTTTTTTTTATTCCATAACTTTCATCTACTGCTTATAGACAATGCCATCTATTTCTCTGCCTTCTTTCTTTTTCTGAGTGGTCACGCATAAACTGTCATACACATAATCAACATCATATTTTTCCAGTAGACTCCAAATTTAATTGGAATCTCTATACTTCCACTAAATGAGAGTGGGATTTTAGCACTTCTCACTTTCTTCTCCCCTCCATCTCCCAAATGCCATTATTTTCCAAAGTTTTATTTTCCAATTGTTGTTAGTTATTATAGTTTTATTATTTACATGGCTGAAATTTTAGCAACAATAATTATTATTTTCCATCAATACTTAGATTTACCCCCACATTTTATTAGCTTATGTGCTGGCTTTACTTCTGTCAGAGGCAGGATTTGATGGAGGGGCAGAGGGTGCAGGAAGACATGGGAAAGGGGACGACAAAACATTGCACTTGCCTCACAGTTTTGTTTCCACCACAACCTCACAACAGCCTACAATTTGCAAAAAAGTCTGACAGAGGTTTGCATCTCTGTCAGTTATTTTGAAATTCTACTTTAAAAATTGATACAAATCCATTTTCTGATATCATTTCTCCAAATCTATAACATCATTTTCTGTGATTCTCAAAGAATCATAAAAACACTAAAAAACAGAAAATTTACATGTACATGTAAGCAGTATACTCACTTCCAAAATCTGTTGCAATAATTTCTGTTTTATTAATAAGCAAATGATTATTATAGATTATTTGTGAATGGCAAGTATGATTACGGTTAGGTTCAAGGCCTTCTGCTTTAAATTGTGTCCCATTAGATGAATATGTCACATTAGATGAAGGTGAATGATCTGAAAGAAATAAATATTTCATATGAGTATATTAATACAATATATCACACTTAACTTTCTTTTTGGATTTCACATCTATAATTATTTAACATCTATTAGATTAAAAACTTATGCAAATAGTCAAAATACTGAGTAAAAGATCTTGAAAACTACTATAATGCATGATTTTGCCACACTTAATTTTAAAGAAAACCTTAGGAAGTATAACTCAGTTTGAGAGTGTCTCTAATTTAACTGATGGAATGAGGAATTCGTTTTTGTTCAGAAACTGAGATTGCACATGAGTTAGCCTTTGCCTGATGGATATTTTAGATACATCTTTGTGTTATCATCAGTCTATGACATTTGTTCTTGCTCTCCTCACACTGCTTGTATCATAGCTGTGTAACTTCCTCGTAACGTGATTGCAACCAGCTGCACACTCCTTCCTTTGTGTCTGAGTGTGTATGTGTGTCTGTCTGTCTTGCCAAATACAGCCTAGCAGATGGCTTTATGCCAAAGGAGGGAAATTCCACCTCAATAAATTAAAATAAAAAGAAATAAAAAAATCATTAAATCATGAATCATTTAAAAGAAATGTTATTTCAATTATCGCCCCCCCATATGAACCGTAACTCATATTCCTAGAATCACTTACTGTTCTTTTTCCATTTTTCTTTCATCTAAGTGTTCTTGAAGTTGTTTATGAACATTGTTGATGGAGGGCTAACCAAATAAACTCTTGAATCATATCCTATGTGTTTTTCCTTTCATCCTAACAATATGTGTCTCATAATTTTTTATAACACCCTTCTCTGATAATCTCTTCAATAATGCCTTGTGTATAACAGTTGCCAAGAAAAATCTTGTAAATTAATTGACTTTTACTATTTAAAAAATTATTTTTCAGGGAAGTATTTGTCTATTTTGTGAATTTGAGAGGTATAGAGAATACAATGATTTGACTCCCAACATATCAAGGACCAAAAGAGAAAGAGAGAGAGAGAGAAGACAGAGAAAGAAGGAAGGAAGGAAGATAGGAAGGAAGGAGGGAGGGAGGGAAGGAAGGAAGGAAGGAAGGAAGGAAGG